GTGACACAGCTCCGATTGGTCAGAACGCTGCCCTCCGATTGGTCAGAACGCTGCCCTCCGATTGGTCAGAACGCTGCCGAGCCCCTCTGTGCACGTGCATGAGAGCCACACACAAATATTTGGCGCAAAGCTTCATGGGAGCTCGTCCACTGCACAGAACCGGGAGGACCAGAGAAATGACCACATATGGGCGAGTTCCTCTGATCTCTGGGTCCCGTGTGTCCCATGCACCGCTGAGCATAAGCCATTCATCTGAACAGGCCGCCATCTTGGATCATCAGGGCTTGGTCCCGCTCCACGTCTGCCTTCCACAATCCACTTCACCTCTATTCAGTAAATCTAACCTGCCTCTTCCCTTCTGTTTGTCGGAACATGTGGGATCTTCCTTCAGTCGCTAAACTGTTTAGTAAATACTGTCGTCTCCAAACATCTTTCCAATTTGAGCTCTTGATGTTTTAATATTCCCAGGATTCATTGCGATCTGCAGCGAGATCATCTCCCTCAACAATAGTTTCAATAAAATATCCATTTGTCACCGTTTCATTGAACCAGAGCGAGTCTTATGGTAATATCCTCAGGTTCTCAGGCCGGCCCCAGGAGCCGCTGTGTTTGCGTCTGAAACCAGAGGACGTGTGTTTTCCACAGAGTTAGTCTTTAAACGCTGACTTTACCAAATATTTAGATACAATAATACCTGTGGGGTCCCTCAAGGATCGGTCCTGGGGCCGGTCCTTTTTACAATCTACATGCTCCCCCTAGGCCAGGTAATCAGAAACCATCAAGTCTCTTTTCACTGTTACGCTGATGATACGCAGCTGTACATGAAAATTGACTCCACATCCTCCTCAGTCCCACCGGCCACACTCCACACCTGCCTGGAGGAGATAAAGGCATGGATGACTAGCAACTTCCTCCAGTTGAATAGTAGCAAAACTGAAGCCATCTTGATTGGCACCCGTCACCAAATCCAGTCATCCACCATATCCAATATTCATGTCTCGGGCCAAAACATTCCCCTTTCCTCCTCTGTTACAAACCTAGGGGTCAGATTTGATCCTCATCTTTCATTTGAGAATCATATCCGCCACCTCTGCAAAGTGTCCTTCCATCATCTACGAAATATTGCCAAACTCCGCCCCTCCCTCTCACAGACAGATGCTGAGAAATTGGTACATGCCTTTGTCTCCTCCAGGCTGGACTACTGCAATGCCCTCCTTGTCGGGATCCCTGGTAAGAGCCTGCTGAAGCTCCAGCACATCCAGAACTGTGCAGCCAGGATCCTGACGAGGAGGCGCAAGTATGACCACATCACCCTGTCCTCCAGTCTCTACATTGGCTGCCCATCCATTACAGAATCCACTATAAAATCTGCCTCCTCACATACCAATGTGTCCATGGAACAGCCCCGACATACCTCACTGAGCTAGTTACTCCACACACCACCACAAGGCGCTTACGGTCCACTTCCACCCATACTCTTCACCAGCCCGTGACCAAGCTCTCCACAATGGGAGATAGGGCCTTTAAGGCAGTTGCCCCTAGACTCTGGAACGCCCTGCCAGAGACCCTGAGGGCTCCCCAGAGTGTTGAGGCCTTTAAAAAAGGCCTGAAAACACATTTATTTAAAAAGGCCTTTTAGTTTGTTTTTGCTCTTGTGCTTGCTTTGTTTTACTGTCATGTTCATTTTGTTTTATCTGATTTTAATTTACCTGTTGTAGCACTTTGAGGTTTCTTTGAAATGTAAAGTGCAATATAAATAAAATGTATTATTATTATTATTATTAATAACGGGTGGAGTCGTGTGATGTCACATAGAAACCAGGAGGAGATGTAGAAGAAGCAAAAACACAGAGTTTATTCCCACTGTCCCGCCCGGCTTGTGGAACCATAACAGCAGAGGACACGACAAATGGAGCGATTTAAGTAAGTGAGTAATCTTTATTTACAGTGCCTTGCGAAAGTATTCGGCCCCCCTTGAACCTTTCAACATTTTGCCACATTTCAGGCTTCAAACATAAAGATATACAATTTTAATTTTTTGTCATGAATCAACAACAAGTGGGACACAATCGTGAAGTGGAACGAAATTTATTGGATAATTTAAACTTTTTTAACAAATAAAAAACTGAAAAGTGGGGCGTGCAATATTATTGGGCCCCTTTACTTTCAGTGCAGCAAACTCAGTCCAGAAGTTCAGTGAGGATCTTTGAATGATCCAATGTTGTCCTAAATGACTGATGATGATAAATAGAATGCACCTGTGTGTAATCGAGTCTCTGTATAAATGCACCTGCTCTTTGATAGTCTCAGGGTTCTGTTTAAAGCACAGAGAGAACCATGAAGACAAAGGAACACACCAGGCAGGTCCGAGATACTGTTGTGGAGAAGTTTAAAGCCGGATTTGGATACAAAAAGATTTCCCAAGCTTTAAACATCTCAAGGAGCACTGTGCAAGCAGTTATATTGAAATGGAAGGAGTATCAGACCACTGCAAATCTACCAAGACCCGGCCGTCCCTCCAAACTTTCATCTCAAACAAGGAGAAGACTGATCAGAGATGCAGTCAAGAGGCCCATGATCACTCTGGATGAACTGCAGATAACTACAGCTGAGGTGGGAGAGTCTGTCCATAGGACAACAATCAGTTGTGCACTGAACAAATCTGGCCTTTATGGAAGAGTGGCAAGAAGAAAGCCATTTCTCAAAGATATCCATAAAAAGTCTTGATAAAGTTTGCCACAAGCCACCTGGGAGACACACCAAACATGTGGAAGAAGGTGCTCTGGTCAGATGAAACCAAAATCAAACTTTTTGGCCACAATGCAAAACGATATGTTTGGCGTAAAAGCAACACAACTCATCACCCTGAACACACCATCCCCACTGTCAAACATGGTGGTGGTGGTCAGGGTCACACGGGTCGAGGTCACATGGGTCAGGGTCACACGGGTCAGGGTCACACGGGTCGAGGTCACATGGGTCAGGGTCACACAGGTCAGGGTCACACGGGTCGAGGTCACATGGGTCAGGGTCACACGGGTCAGGGTCACACAGGTCAGGGTCACACGGGTCAGGGTCACACGGGTCAGGGTCACACGGGTCGAGGTCACATGGGTCAGGGTCACACAGGTCAGGGTCACACGGGTCAGGGTCACATGGGTCAGGGTCACATGGGTCAGGGTCACATGGGTCAGGGTCACATGGGTCAGGGTCACACGGGTCGGTCACACAGGTCAGGGTCACATGGGTCGAGGTCACATGGGTCAGGGTCACACAGGTCAGGGTCACACAGGTCGGTCACACAGGTCAGGGTCACATGGGTCAGGGTCACACAGGTCAGGGTCACACGGGTCAGGGTCACACAGGTCGGTCACACAGGTCAGGGTCACACGGGTCGAGGTCACATAGGTCAGGGTCACACGGGTCAGGGTCACACAGGTCAGGGTCACACGGGTCAGGGTCACACGGGTCAGGGTCACACGGGTCAGGGTCACACGGGTCAGGGTCACACAGGTCAGGGTCACACGGGTCAGGGTCACACGGGTCAGGGTCACACGGGTCAGGGTCACACGGGTCAGGGTCACACAGGTCAGGGTCACACAGGTCAGGGTCACACGGGTCAGGGTCACACGGGTCAGGGTCACACGGGTCAGGGTCACACGGGTCAGGGTCACACGGGTCAGGGTCACACAGGTCAGGGTCACATGGGTCGAGGTCACACACAGGTCGGTCACACACACATGGGTCGAGGTCACATGGGTCAGGGTCACACAGGTCAGGGTCACACGGGTCGAGGTCACATGGGTCAGGGTCACACAGGTCAGGGTCACATGGGTCAGGGTCACACAGGTCAGGGTCACACGGGTCAGGGTCACACAGGTCGGTCACACAGGTCAGGGTCACACGGGTCAGGGTCACACGGGTCAGGGTCACACAGGTCAGGGTCACACGGGTCGAGGTCACATGGGTCAGGGTCACACGGGTCAGGGTCAGACGGGTCGAGGTCACATGGGTCAGGGTCACACAGGTCAGGGTCACACGGGTCAGGGTCACATGGGTCAGGGTCAGGGTCACATGGGTCAGGGTCACACGGGTCGGTCACACAGGTCAGGGTCACATGGGTCGAGGTCACATGGGTCAGGGTCACACAGGTCGGTCACACAGGTCAGGGTCACACAGGTCAGGGTCACATGGGTCGAGGTCACATGGGTCAGGGTCACACAGGTCAGGGTCACATGGGTCAGGGTCACACAGGTCAGGGTCACACGGGTCAGGGTCACACGGGTCGAGGTCACATGGGTCAGGGTCACACAGGTCAGGGTCACATGGGTCAGGGTCACACGGGTCGGTCACACAGGTCAGGGTCACACAGGTCAGGGTCACACGGGTCGAGGTCACATGGGTCAGGGTCACACAGGTCAGGGTCACATGGGTCAGGGTCACACAGGTCAGGGTCACACGGGTCAGGGTCACACAGGTCGGTCACACAGGTCAGGGTCACACGGGTCGAGGTCACATGGGTCAGGGTCACACAGGTCAGGGTCACACGGGTCAGGGTCACACGGGTCAGGGTCACACAGGTCAGGGTCACACGGGTCGAGGTCACATGGGTCAGGGTCACACGGGTCAGGGTCACAGTCAGGTCAGGGTCACACGGGTCAGGGTCACACGGGTCACAGGGTCACACGGGTCAGGGTCACATGGGTCAGGGTCACACGGGTCGGTCACACAGGTCAGGGTCACATGGGTCGAGGTCACATGGGTCAGGGTCACACAGGTCGGTCACACAGGTCAGGGTCACATGGGTCGAGGTCACATGGGTCAGGGTCACACAGGTCAGGGTCACACGGGTCAGGGTCACACGGTCGGGTCACACAGGGTCAGGCACATCAGGGTCAGGGGTCACAGGGTCAGGGTCACACAGGGTCAGGGTCACACAGGTCAGGGTCACACAGGGTCCACGGGTCAGGGTCACACAGGTCAGGGTCACACGGTCAGGGTCACACGGTCAGGTCACACAGGTCAGGGTCACACGGGTCGAGGTCACATGGGTCAGGGTCACACGGGTCAGGGTCACACAGGTCAGGGTCACACGGGTCAGGGTCACACGGGTCAGGGTCACACGGGTCGAGGTCACATGGGTCAGGGTCACACAGGTCAGGGTCATGGGTCAGGGTCACACGGGTCGAGGTCACATGGGTCAGGGTCACACAGGTCAGGGTCACACGGGTCAGGGTCACACGGGTCAGGGTCACACAGGTCAGGGTCAGGGTCACACGGGTCAAATACAGAAACATTTAATAGAAACAAAAGAGGAAAATAAACAAAAACCAGCTTGCATTCTGCTGCATCATGAACCTGCTCCTCATGAACCTGCTCATCATGAACCTGCTCCTCATGAACCTGCTCCTCATGAACCTGCTCATCATGAACCTGCTCCTCATGAACCTGCTCCTCATGAACCTGCTCCTCATGAACCTGCTCATCATGAACCTGCTCATCATGAACCTGCTCCTCATGAACCTGCTCCTCATGAACCTGCTCCTAATGAACCTGCTCCTCATGAACCTGCTCCTCATGAACCTGCTCATCATGAACCTGCTCATCATGAACCTGCTCATCATGAACCTGCTCCTCATGAACCTGCTCCTCATGAACCTGCTCCTCATGAACCTGCTCCTCATGAACCTGCTCCTCATGAACCTGCTCCTCATGAACCTGCTCATCATGAACCTGCTCATCATGAACCTGCTCCTCATGAACCTGCTCCTCATGAACCTGCTCCTCATGAACCTGCTCCTCATGAACCTGCTCATCATGAACCTGCTCCTCATGAACCTGCTCCGCATGAACCTGCTCATCATGAACCTGCTCCTCATGAACCTGCTCATCATGAACCTGCTCATCATGAACCTGCTCCTCATGAACCTGCTCCTCATGAACCTGCTCCTCATGAACCTGCTCCTCATGAACCTGCTCCTCATGAACCTGCTCATCATGAACCTGCTCATCATGAACCTGCTCATCATGAACCTGCTCCTAATGAACCTGCTCCTCATGAACCTGCTCCTCATGAACCTGCTCATCATGAACCTGCTCATCATGAACCTGCTCATCATGAACCTGCTCCTCATGAACCTGCTCCTCATGAACCTGCTCCTCATGAACCTGCTCCTCATGAACCTGCTCCTCATGAACCTGCTCATCATGAACCTGCTCATCATGAACCTGCTCCTCATGAACCTGCTCCTCATGAACCTGCTCCTCATGAACCTGCTCCTCATGAACCTGCTCATCATGAACCTGCTCATCATGAACCTGCTCCTCATGAACCTGCTCCTCATGAACCTGCTCCTCATGAACCTGCTCCTCATGAACCTGCTCCTCATGAACCTGCTCATCATGAACCTGCTCCTCATGAACCTGCTCCTCATGAACCTGCTCCTCATGAACCTGCTCCTCATGAACCTGCTCCTCATGAACCTGCTCATCATGAACCTGCTCATCATGAACCTGCTCCTCATGAACCTGCTCATCATGAACCTGCTCATCATGAACCTGCTCATCATGAACCTGCTCCTCATGCACCTGCTCATCATTAACCTGCTCATCATGAACCTGCTCCTCATGCACCTGCTCATCATTAACCTGCTCATCATGAACCTGCTCCTCATGAACCTGCTCATCATGAACCTGCTCCTCATGAACCTGCTCCTCATGAACCTGCTCATCATGAACCTGCTCATCATGAACCTGCTCCTCATGAACCTGCTCCTCATGAACCTGCTCCTCATGAACCTGCTCATCATGAACCTGCTCATCATGAACCTGCTCCTCATGAACCTGCTCATCATGAACCTGCTCATCATGAACCTGCTCATCATGAACCTGCTCATCATGAACCTGCTCCTCATGAACCTGCTCCTCATGAACCTGCTCCTCATGAACCTGCTCCTCATGAACCTGCTCATCATGAACCTGCTCCTCATGAACCTGCTCCTCATGAACTTTAAAAATGGCCGCCAAGGCATCAGCGGTCCTGCTGTTTTTAGATGCCTTTTGTCTGAATAGAGTCATGAGAAGCTCGGTGTGCACATCAAGTCCAGCCTAGAAGGAATTCTGCAGATTTATGGTTATGCGTTGAAATTCAGCGTGCACCTGCAAAAAAAAAAAAAAAGGTTGTAATTCCATTCCCAGCAACAATACAATGTTCTGTTTGAATTCCCTCAGACGGCAGCTGAAGTGCAGGCCAAAGCTGGTGCTGCAGAAAGCACAGTGTTCTGTCTCGAAGGGCAAAGGTTCTCTGCATTAGTTTTCCAACTGTGGTCATGTTCTTATCTTCTTTTTTCATCTCCTCCGCAATGTTTTCTCTTTGTTCTTCAAGTGCAGATGCATTCTCTCCTTGGGGGAAGTTGTGCAGAAAGTTTACTTCTGTCGCCTTGTTTTAATAGCAGAATGTGAACACTCTCCATCCGGGTTACTGTGACTTCTTTTGCCAGTGTTTACCGTTACTTCCTGACACCCAGCGTTTCTCATTAGGGTTTGTATGTTTGCCATTCAGTGTGTCAAGCTTTTTGCCCAGACATCATATCCTGTTCCTGATGCTTTTTCCTTTAAACATGGGTGTTTCTCCACAAGTGCTGCAGCGGCCTTTGGTGAGACTTAAATCCATATTTCACTGATGCCATTAGTTCTAGAATATCATGCCTCTGATCCCTGGTAAGCTTTAGCCATTTCTTTCAAACTCCAACCATACCCACGGTACAGGAAACTGACCATCTACAGACGCTCAGGGGACGCCTGATACAAAGTCAGTGGATGCTTCACTGAATCTTCTGTGAGCTTGATCTGAACCACAGCTTTTTGTGGTAGTTCCTTTGTGTCAACCAGAGATGTGAGCTTGCTCAGAGTGAAGTCTGAGTCAATACTTAAACCCTCCTTTAATCTACGAATTAGCACTTGAACAGAGGAAGGGCGAGAGTTAAGTCTGGCTCAACAACACGCAAACTCAAGTGTTTCTCTGTCCATTTCTGCACAAAAGTAAACATGTAAAAACACTTTAGTTGTGACCATTTGTATACACGCATCGCAGTAACTTGAAAAATCAGGTTTATTGTGAGCACTGCAGCCGCCAATCAAGTCTATTGCAGTGGTTAAATGAATGTAGTGCTTTAGTGTAATTTATGCAATTCACTCTGCAATCATTTATCCTTCACGCTGAGTTATCAGGAAACAATCCAATGAATAATTAATCCACAACATTAGATGCCAAAGCAACGCATATATTTATTTGATATCATTTTATTTTATTTTATTTTTTTTTTTTTTAAGTTCAAATCAGACACTTCATATAATGTATACAGTGTAACTCTGTCTTATCCGCTGCAACAAGATAATGATTTGTGTCACATTATGTATTATTATAACACTTTGGATAAGAGGATTGGTCTCAAAGGATAAACACTTATCATCACTCACTGAATGTTCTTTAACCAGGATCTTTGGGTCAGGATCAGAACACACTGGTCTTAGAAGCGAGAGTGGTGTTGGATCATTCAGTCACACTGCTGCTGGATAGACACATGTTGTGTATGAACGTAGATGCTCTTTAAACATGTCTAAGGAGGAGACAATAAACTTATTTAGCAAGAAAATATCATTCATTTCTACAAAAGTTGGAAGTCCACAATCACTTCCAACAGACACAAACATTCCTCGTGCATACTCTATTGCGTCGATGGTGACCTTAGAAGTATGATACACTGTTGCTTTCAGTGTGTTCTTTAATGAACGTTTGTGTCGCCTCTGCCAACCCTGACACCAACATGGAATCAACTCGATGATGGTGCACTGATATGCCGTCATATTTTGATGTTTGTTGGCCAAAGTTTTCAACACATTTTGAAGTTCTGTGCATCTCTGACTGCCCAGACATTTACTATAGGTCCAAACATTTACTATAGGCCCAGACATTTACTATAGGTCCAAACATTTACTATAGGTCCAAACATTTACTATAGGCCCAAACATTTACTATAGGTCCAAACATTTACTATAGGTCCAAACATTTACTATAGGTCCAAACATTTACTATAGGTCCAAACATTTACTATAGGTCCAAACATTTACTATAGGTCCAAACATTTACTATAGGTCCAAACATTTACTATAGGTCCAAACATTTACTATAGGTCCCAAACCAAACATTTACTATAGGTCCAAACATTTACTATAGGCCCAAACATTTACTATAGGTCCAAACATTTACTATAGGTCCAAACATTTACTATAGGTCCAAACATTTACTATAGGTCCAAACATTTACTATAGGTCCAAACATTTACTATAGGTCCAAACATTTACTATAGGTCCAAACATTTACTATAGGTCCAAACATTTACTATAGGCCCAAACATTTACTATAGGTCCAAACATTTACTATAGGTCCAAACATTTACTATAGGTCCAAACATTTACTATAGGTCCAAACATTTACTATAGGTCCAAACATTTACTATAGGTCCAAACATTTACTATAGGCCCAGACATTTACTATAGGTCCAAACATTTACTATAGGTCCAAACATTTACTATAGGTCCAAACATTTACTATAGGTCCAAACATTTACTATAGGTCCAAACATTTACTATAGGTCCAAACATTTACTATAGGCCCAAACATTTACTATAGGTCCAAACATTTACTATAGGTCCAAACATTTACTATAGGTCCAAACATTTACTATAGGTCCAAACATTTACTATAGGCCCAGACATTTACTATAGGTCCAAACATTTACTATAGGTCCAAACATTTACTATAGGCCCAGACATTTACTATAGGTCCAAACATTTACTATAGGCCCAAACATTTACTATAGGCCCAAACATTTACTATAGGTCCAAACATTTACTATAGGCCCAAACATTTACTATAGGTCCAAACATTTACTATAGGTCCAAACATTTACTATAGGCCCAGACATTTACTATAGGTCCAAACATTTACTATAGGTCCAAACATTTACTATAGGCCCAAACATTTACTATAGGCCCAAACATTTACTATAGGTCCAAACATTGTTTAACTATACTATAGGTCCAAACATTTACTATAGGTCCAAACATTTACTATAGGCCCAAACATTTACTATAGGTCCAAACATTTACTATAGGTCCAACATTTACTATAGGTCCCAAACATTTACTATAGGTCCAAACATTTACTATAGGTCCAAACATTTACTATAGGTCCAAACATTTACTATAGGTCCAAACATTTACTATAGGTCCAAACATTTACTATAGGCCCAAACATTTACTATAGGTCCAAACATTTACTATAGGCCCAAACATTTACTATAGGTCCAAACATTTACTATAGGCCCAGACATTTACTATAGGTCCAAACATTTACTATAGGTCCAAACATTTACTATAGGTCCAAACATTTACTATAGGCCCAAACATTTACTATAGGTCCAAACATTTACTATAGGTCCAAACATTTACTATAGGCCCAAACATTTACTATAGGTCCAAACATTTACTATAGGTCCAAACATTTACTATAGGTCCAAACATTTACTATAGGTCCAAACATTTACTATAGGTCCAAACATTTACTATAGGTCCAAACATTTACTATAGGTCCAAACATTTACTATAGGCCCAAACATTTACTATAGGCCCAGACATTTACTATAGGTCCAAACATTTACTATAGGCCCAAACATTTACATAGGTCCAAACATTTACTATAGGTCCAAACAGTTACTATAGGCCCAGACATTTACTATAGGTCCAAACATTTACTATAGGTCCAAACATTTACTATAGGTCCAAACATTTACTATAGGTCCAAACATTTACTATAGGTCCAAACATTTACTATAGGCCCAGACATTTACTATAGGTCCAAACATTTACTATAGGCCCAGACATTTACTATAGGCCCAAACATTTACTATAGGTCCAAACATTTACTATAGGTCCAAACATTTACTATAGGTCCAAACATTTACTATAGGTCCAAACATTTACTATAGGTCCAAACATTTACTATAGGTCCAAACATTTACTATAGGTCCAAACATTTACTATAGGCCCAGACATTTACTATAGGTCCAAACATTTACTATAGGCCCAAACATTTACTATAGGTCCAAACATTTACTATAGGTCCAAACTTTCTATTTACTATAGGTCCAAACATTTACTATAGGTCCAAACATTTACTATAGGTCCAAACATTTACTATAGGTCCAAACATTTACTATAGGCCCAGACATTTACTATAGGTCCAAACATTTACTATAGGCCCAAACATTTACTATAGGCCCAAACATTTACTATAGGTCCAAACATTTACTATAGGCCCAAACATTTACTATAGGTCCAAACATTTACTATAGGCCCAAACATTTACTATAGGTCCAAACATTTACTATAGGTCCAAACATTTACTATAGGCCCAAACATTTACTATAGGTCCAAACATTTACTATAGGTCCAAACATTTACTATAGGTCCAAACATTTACTATAGGTCCAAACATTTACTATAGGTCCAAACATTTACTATAGGTCCAAACATTTACTATAGGTCCAAACATTTACTATAGGCCCAGACATTTACTATAGGTCCAAACATTTACTATAGGTCCAAACATTTACTATAGGCCCAGACATTTACTATAGGTCCAAACATTTACTATAGGTCCAAACATTTACTATAGGCCCAAACATTTACTATAGGTCCAAACATTTACTATAGGCCCAGACATTTACTATAGGTCCAAACATTTACTATAGGTCCAAACATTTACTATAGGCCCAGACATTTACTATAGGTCCAAACATTTACTATAGGCCCAAACATTTACTATAGGCCCAGACATTTACTATAGGTCCAAACATTTACTATAGGTCCAAACATTTACTATAGGCCCAGACATTTACTATAGGTCCAAACATTTACTATAGGTCCAAACATTTACTATAGGCCCAAACATTTACTATAGGTCCAAAACACTTGTTTTGCACGCGGCACGTGGGGCGGCACGGTGGCTGAGTGGATAGCACTCTCGCCTCTCAGCAAGAAGGTCCTGGGTTCGAATCCCGGTCGGACCAGGGCCTTTCTGAGTGGAGTTTGCATGTTCTCCCCGTGTCTGCGTAGGTTTCCTCCGGGTACTCCGGTTTCCCCTACCACTAAAAATATGTCCAATAGTTCTAGCATGCGCCTCCTGTACTGGCCCCGCTCCCATCTCTGTGTGGAGTGAGAGACAAATGCCCATAATTAACAATTGTAAACCGCTTTGTGACTCAGATCTGCAGTGAAAAGGCGGTATATAAATAAATACTTACTTACTTACTTACTTGTTAGGGTTAACAAGTTAGTGTTCCAGATAATGATGTTTTGGCCTTAACCTGAAATCTGGAAACACAAGCTGCAAGGCCTGTCTATGATCACTAATGTTCCTGCTAAAGAAGTCCAACAGGCCATCTGTGAAAGTGGGACATAATGCTAACTCTACCACATCAAGTGTCTTGCCCAAGGACACAACGACAGCAGTCATCAGTGGGAGTAGGTGGAGAAGGTGTAGAGCTTTTACCATTGACAAAAAAAATTATGTAAATTGTGTGAGTTTGTGCGTTTGTGTGTAAAGAGAAGGACTGTGGATTATAAAATGTTTTACTATTATGCATCAGTCTGATTTTAAAGTTTGGCTCAAAAAAAAAAATGAAAAGACAAAAACTTCAGTGTCACTTTTCTCTTTGAGATTTGCAGCAAAAACACAACACGACTCAGACCAACAACTGCCGACTGTTGTTGGTCTGAGTCCTTTAAAAATGAAACACATTAAAAGTCCGGCATCCCCTCGGCAGGAGCTCTGGTGTGTGCCCTGTTCTGTCTGCTGCACACTGGGGGAGTCTTGCACAGTTTTTCCAATGGGGTTTTACTGTAAATGACAAAAACATTCTTGAATCTTACATTTAAATCACAAAATACAACAGTTCTGCTCAGAAACCATCAGGAAATATGTCACTGTTGCCTTTACCTTCTGCTGTCTGTGTCCACCTCGTTAGCATCCACGCTACACCTCGTTAGCATCCACGCTACACCTCGTTAGCACCAATGCTCACAAACAGCTAATATCCAGCAGTGTTTTTCCTTCATCATGTGTTTGCCGCACCATCTGCTCGTGGACCTGACCCCGGTGTGTTCCTGTCGGAGCCGTCGGAGCCCGGACCCTCGGCCCACGCTCACACGACATGACGGGAGAATACCTCTGATGCTGTTATCGCCAAACACATCAAAGTGAAAAGGGAATGAGCTGCTTGTTCATTAGTGCCACTGTAAATGACATGATCGCACCCATGGGTACCAGCGAGTCCCTTTGCTAAGTCACACGTGAAAGGATGAGTAATGCTGCTGACGGTTATTCTAAGATTAGGATCCTCTGGTCCCACCGTGGGTCATATCAGCACAACATTCAATCCATTTATATGTATTTTGTTTAGCTCTAAATCTCAACCGCAGTGGTCTCTGAGGAGGATCAGAGAATAAACAGTTTAAACACAGAACATGCAATAAATAAACACTTTGGTCCATGAGAGAAAGGACCAATATCTATAAATATCCTTAAACGTCCTGGATCACTGGCCTTAGATCCTTCTGCAGTAAAAGTGAGGCCTTATACAGACAGGTCCAGACCCAACTCTATTCTCTAATAAATATAATCATTAAAGAACAAAGCTTTATACTTTAGTGCATTAAGAAATACCTGTGTGAGGACATAAATGTGTAAAACTCAGAGGGTTCAGATACTCAGTGATGAAATGAACCTAATATGGCAGAATGTTTCAATGACAATAAAACAAGGGCTGCTTTTCAGATTCATGCTAAAATCTGGAACAATCCTCCTGAATATGTGAGACAGTCTTCTCTGAGAATGTTGTAATGTGTTTTATCTTTCTCTTTAACCTGCTGAGACCGTGGCCTTTTGTGAAAGAAGCATCACTTTGTCACCAGGAGGTTCGCTTCCTCTGGACACGATGGACATGACGACAGGGAGAACATGCAAACTCTGACTGGTGAACATGGGATCAACATGTTTCCTCTGGGGGGGTCTGGATGGCTGACATGTCTGACAGGTGCTGTTCCTGCCAGCCTTCAGCAGCTCTCAGAGAAACATCACACTGGTCAGACCTGATGAGCTGCACATGGTCCAGACCCACATGGTCCAGACCCACCTGGTCCAGACCCACCTGGTCCAGACCCACCTGGTCCAGACCCACCTGGTGTCCGACCCCATTAGGCTCAGAAAGGCAGGTTTATTTCTACGGCACAGTTCATACTCAAGGAAACTCAAAGGGCTCAAGAAAACAAAATAAAAACAATCAACATATAAATAATAAATAATCACAGTGCATTAAAAGTCCCAGTCCCTGTGCTCCTCAGAGTCCCAGCAGGAGTCCAGTCCCTGTGCTCCTCAGAGTCCCAGCAGGAGACCAGTCCCTGTGCTCCTCAGAGTCCCAGCAGGAGTCCAGTCCCTGTGCTCCTCAGAGTCCCAGCAGGAGTCCAGTCCCTGTGCTCCTCAGAGTCCCAGCAGGAGTCCAGTCCCTGTGCTCCTCAGAGTCCCAGCAGGAGACCAGTCCCTGTGCTCCTCAGAGTCCCAGCAGGAGTCCAGTCCCTGTGCTCCTCAGAGTCCCAGCAGGAGACCAGTCCCTGTGCTCCTCAGAGTCCCAGCAGGAGTCCAGTCCCTGTGCTCCTCAGAGTCCCAGCAGGAGGCCAGTCCCTGTGCTCCTCAGAGTCCCAGCAGGAGGCCAGTCCCTGTGCTCCTCAGAGTCCCAGCAGGAGGCCAGTCCCTGTGCTCCTCAGAGTCCCAGCAGGAGTCCAGTCCCTGTGCTCCTCAGAGTCCCAGCAGGAGACCAGTCCCTGTGCTCCTCAGAGTCCCAGCAGGAGTCCAGTCCCTGTGCTCCTCAGAGTTGGTTCATGTGGCTCTAACATGTTACAGATGGACTTGGGTTCGAGGCCGTGGAAAGACTTGTCTTTCTTTATTCACACAGATCAGATGGAGTTCCTTTATTCGTCCAACACTGGGGAAATTCCAGTGTTGCAGCGCACAGACAGGACAGCAGTAAGAGACATGGAGCACAGGAGGTTGACGAGAGAGTACCCGCCGCTCTCTCTTTTCCATGAGTCCAAAGTCAAAAACATAATGAAGTCTAATTAAAGGTTATTTTTTCATTGTTTTCTTCTTCTTCACTTTATCAAAAGTTTACATTTGTTTTCCGTGAACTTCCCAAAGCGTTTTCCTCCGTCACCTTTTTGCAAAATACTTTCCAAACGCAGACTAAATGTAGAGAGGCTGCGGACCGTAACGAGCCCTGTGAGTAACGAGTCTGTCTCGTCTATTGTCTTTGTCCTAAATCTGTGACATTCACATCTGAAGGTTTTTGTGCTAAATTATGTAAAATCCAAACTCGAACAGATGTTTGAAGTTGAAAAGACTGAACAAGGCTAATGTGGGCCGGGACTACAAACGTCTGAACAAGGCTAATGTGAGCCAGGACTACAAACGTCTGAACAAGGCTAATGTGGGCCGGGACTACAAACGTCTGCACAAGGCTAATGTGAGCCGGGACTACAAACGTCTGAACAAGGCTAATGTGGGCCGGGACTACAAACGTCTGAACAAGGCTAATGTGGGCCGGGACTACAAACGTCTGAACAAGGCTAATGTGAGCCAGGACTACAAACGTCTGAACAAGGCTAATGTGGGCCGGGACTACAAACGTCTGAACAAGGCTAATGTGGGCCGGGACTACAAACGTCTGAACAAGGCTAATGTGGGCCGGGACTACAAACGTCTGAACAAGGCTAATGTGAGCCGGGACTACAAACGTCTGAACAAGGCTAATGTGAGCCAGGACTACAAACGTCTGAACAAGGCTAATGTGAGCCAGGACTACAAACGTCTGAACAAGGCTAATGTGAGCCAGGACTACAAACGTCTGAACAAGGCTAATGTGAGCCAGGACTACAAACGTCTGAACAAGGCTAATGTGAGCCAGGACTACAAACGTCTGAACAAGGCTAATGTGGGCCGGGACTACAAACGTCTGAACAAGGCTAATGTGAGCCAGGACTACAAACGGCGTTGGAGCGGTTGATGTTTAATGACATTTGGGGATCTGATAAAGTGAATTGATTAAATGTTGCACGAAGCGATCCCACTGAAACCAGACCTGAATATTTCTCTCTGCACTGATTGGTTTTTTCACTTCACAAACTCGTTATTGTCAGAGTGACATTTCTGTGGAAAAGATATGTTTATGTTTACAAATGTTGAGATGGATTTGCTCTTTTTACCGGTTCATAAACAGCTGGAAACGACAATAAAAATGCAAGTGTTGGGATGGGACCTAAGTCTTCCCTGTGTCTCTCTCACAGACTGTAAATAACAGACGTAGTCAGGCCGATCTGTGCCGTTCTAACTAAGGGGCCAAACATTGGGCTTTCATGGAGTGATTCAAAATGGCCGCGGGGGCTGGAAAATGTGAAAAAACACATCTGTGCATGCGTCGGCTGCACGAGCCCGATTCATTTAAACGAGAGACTTCTAAAGTCCACAGCGACTAAACTAGACTGGTCCAGAACACTCAGCATTGACACACATGTGGAACGGAGCTTTGGGCCAAGAGACAACTTTGGACCATCTTGTAAAGACGTTTTCCAGAGGTAAGAAGATGCTATATGTTAGCATTGGCTAATTCTTATTCCGGGTCCACCCCCACAGGCCCGGGGTGGTACTGCAGCATGTCAGGGTCCACCCCCACAGGCCCGGGGTGGTACTGCAGCATGTCAGGGTCCACCCCCACAGGCCCGGGGTGGTACTGCAGCATGTCAGGGTCCACCCCCACAGGCCCGGGGTGGTACTGCAGCATGTTAGCCCCACGTCATTTTGGCCACTTTTGAGCTGGGACCCGCCCACACTGGTCTCTTCCCAAAGCGAAACTAAACTCGCTAAATTAAACCTCGGGTAAATACAATTTCCTTTAGCATTAACAGTTCATGTTGGTTGTACCAAAAAGTAAAATGTTGTGAACAAATCAAACATGATGTTTTACTGTCAGACTTCTTTGAAATGTCCCCCATCCCTGAAACAAACACTGCTGTGTCCGTCTGCCTCAGTCTGTAGTCACATGTTTATGACTCTCATGTAGATTATTGCACTTTAGGCTATATCCACACGAAGACAAAACGCTTATAATTTCAGAAACTTTTTCTGTAAACACGGAGTTAGCTCAGTAAATGTGTGCGTCCATATGAATGTAGTCAATACGCCTGAAAACGCTGTGAAACTATGCCAGACCTGTTGGTGGCGCTGTGACGCAATGACGGGATCAAGCCCAAACTTCTGTGACGGGAACTGGGCATGTGCAGAATGTTGTAAACAGACAACATGGCGAGTGGGCGAGCTGGTACTACATTAGTATGGACGGACGATGAGGTTGAACTGTTGCTTCGGGTCACACTGGATTACAAAACCAACAAGCTACATTGTTGTTGTCATTATTTTCTGAGTGCGGCGCATGCTGCTTTAACAAGAGGCGGGCGATGACGCAAGCGTCTCAGATACATTGCGGAGAGGCAGTAACCACGGAGCGGCATATACAGAGTTTTGAAATCTTTCCACTCTGGGACCTACTTTCAAAAATGTTCGTTTACACCCCCCCAAAACGCCGGCCTCGTATGGACGATACACTGGATTGATAAAGTATTTTTGCGTTTAGGCCTGAGCTTGACTTCGTGTGGACAGGGCCTTAGAATGATTGTTTTTACTGCAGACATCCTGAGCCTCTACAGTGTGTTCTTCTGCATACTGTAAAAAACCTGGAAGGAACACACGGGGTTTAAATACAAGACTAACGAGACACAGGTGAGACACGTGAGGGCGGGGCCTCAGACAGGAAGTACATAGAGGGGAAATAAAAGTATTCCAAATGATACAATATGACACATGTTTGTTATATTTGCTTTGTTGTTAGTTAGAAACTCGAGGCTGCAGGATCTGAACTCACTTCATCACACACTCAAAGTCAGCTTTACACCGGACTGATTATGGACAGGTGTGTGTGTGTGTGTGTGTGTGTGTGTGTGTGTGTGTGTGTGTGTGTGTGTGTGTGTGTGTGTGTGTGTGTGTGTGTGTGTGTGTGTGTGTGTGTGTGTGTGTGTGTGCGCGTGTGTGTACGCGTGTGTGTGTGTGTGTGCGTGTGTGTGTTGTGTGTGTGACATGCTGTGGCTAATCAACCCAGGGATGGTATATATGAACTCAGGAGTGACTTCAACCCTGGGGTTACATGTTCTCCAAAAGAAAAAAGGTTCTATTCCCTCTTCACTTCTGTAGTAGTAGTAGCAGCAGTAGCTAAGCAGGGCAGGGCCTGGTTACTACTATGATGGGAGACTGGAGTTGTCCCGGGGGAAGCTCTCACAGACTGACAGCCGCCCCTTCGTCACTCTGTCCTAGGGCAGCTGTGGCTACATTAGCATTTACCACCACCACATCATCTGTGGTGTCTGAGAAATCTCCTAATCCTTCCATTTCATAAAACACAACAATAAACCTGCCACATTTTCTCTGCAGACAAAGAAGAAGTCTGTGGTGCAACCCTGAGCAAAGTTGAACAATCTCAAAGCAGAGAAACACTTCTGTGCTTTTGCTTTTCTCCAGAGAAAAGGCAACACACAAACTCACCTCCGAAATGAAACACAAAGTTACAGAACTATGATGCAAACTTGGTCACAGCAGGACGCACAAACTGAGGCTTGATAAATGTCTTGTCTACAACTGCCTCTGCACTCACAGACAGGTGCTGCCAACTCTGAACACACACAGGCAGACACACACACTCTGAACACACACAGGCAGACACACACACTCTGAACACACACAGGCACACACACACACACACACACACACTCTGAACACACACAGGCAGACACACACACTCTGAACACACACTGAACACACACACACAGGCAGACACACACACATACACACAGGCAGACACACACACTCTGAACACACACTGAACACACACACACGCACACTTTCATTAGCTCTGTTACTTGACTCATTACGGACACCACGCTGTCTTCAAAGCGTTCTGATTTGATTTATTTAAATATTTTTGGATGGAGGTTAGTCCAGGACGGAGCCGGAGTTTACTTCCTCCGTCGCTAACAGTGCGTAAAGATTTATGGCAAATGTAACTAATTACCAAACAGCTCCCATGTCCCACTCCCAGCTTTATGACTTCTTACTTTATAATGAATGCCTCCTCTTCCTCACGCAGAGATGAACCACGGCACAGGAGTCCACATTATTAAATCAAAGGAACGACTCCGGACTCTTATTGATCGAGTGAACGTCAGTTAATAGCAGCTCCGGAGTCTTTCAGCGGGACACAAATCCTTCCTCTTCCTGAGAATATGATCGGAGCTGTCGTCTTCCACAAATGCATCTCACTGAGTTTTCTTAAAGACCTTATGCCGGGTTTAAAAAAAAAAATAGTGGATATCAAAATTGCATGACAATGTCAATCTGAAAGAGATTCCGGCAAAAAAAATCCTATATTTTATAAAAAGAACGTGTTTTTCATGAATTTAAGCTGTCTATGCTCTAACCTGTGTGTGACGTCATAGCGGGTAACGGCCATGCATTGAAAACCATGGATCTATGCCACAGGACTGCCTTTTCTCTCTTCTCTCCACTGATGCCCAACACAATACTGCCCTCTACAGGTGACAATTGCTCATTACACATAAATTGCCGTTTTGAATGTGAAAAGGTGTCCGAGGTGGGATTTGAACCCAAGTATCTGGATTGGCAGTCCATCGACACAACCACTGGACTATCTCAGTGACAACGAAGAGTTATAATCTAGTATTTATGTCACACTCGCTGTACACGGCCTTGTCATCTTGAATATCCGCGAAAAAAGAACGAATACCAAATTGTAAACAACTTACAGCGTTGAAACGTACCCACTCTGACGTCACCAAGGGCTGTGAAGTTTTTTCGTTTCTAAGGGCGTTGCTATGGGGTTATTTTGATTTGGGGGGATCAGACAAAAAAAACGACAACTGATTTTGAAACCTTTAGTAGTTCTCTTCTAATATAAAATGGTATTAAAACTGTATTTCTAAATAAATCAAACCCGGCATAAGGTCTTTAAACACAAAGTCAAAGAAGTGTTTTCAGAGAATCAGAGGTGATGCTGGTGAGACATCCTGTTGTGGAAAAGATGGAACACTTTTATAGAGTTGTTACTTTTGAGGACAGAGGTGATGATTCAGGACCGCAACATTTATGAACGTTGGTGTCTACCCCTTATGGACCGATACCAATGTGTTTTCTATTTCTCTGATCTATCCATCCATCTTCTTCCCCTTAATCCATGTCTGGGTGGGGGGTGGCAGTCAGAGCACCAGCCGCTCACTGATCCTCCTGCAGGAACTGAGGTCTTTCAGCGGGGGCTTCAGGCAAAGTGGGGTTAAGTGTCTTGCCCAAGGACACAACAGCAGACATCAGTGGGAGTTGGTGAAGAAGGTCTTGCGTTGGACTTGAACCCACGACCTTCAGGCTCAAAGGCCGATGCTTTTCCAACTTAGACCCTGTCAATTCTCTGATCTGTGTTGATGAATTGGTTTAGTAAAATCCTCTGAGAATCTGCTTCAAAACACTGCTGTGATTTAGGGCTAAACAACTATAAATTAAATTCAATAATAACACTTTTAAACTCAAAGAATGTTCTCTTCCTTGGCCCCGAGAAACAGACGTGAAGGAAACGGAGAGTGGCTCTTGGACCAGGACCACCATCATTAAAGTCTGCTGCTTTAGAAATCCTGCTTCTGTCTTTCAACTTGGACCCGGAGTCTCCATCTCCAGAGACACACACAACACACTGCCACGTATACACTCACACAGACACTACTACACACACTCACACACACTGCTACACACACACACTGCCACACCCACACACACACTACCACACACACACACACACTGCCACACACACACTGCCATACACACACTGCCACACAAACACTGCCACACACACACACACTGCCCCACACACACTGCCACACACACACATTGCCACACACACACTGCCACACAGCCACACACACACACTGCCACACACACACTGCCACACAGCAACACACACCCACTGCCAGCCACACACACACACTGCCACACACACACTGCCACACACTGCCACACACACACACTGCCACACACACACTGCCACACACACACTGCCACACAGACACTGCCACACACACACTGCCACTGCCACACACACACACTGCCACACAGCCACACACTGCCACACACACACACTGTCACACACACACTGCCACACACACACACTGCCACACAGACACACACACACTGCCACACACACAGTCTCTGGTCGTCCTGAACTTTTTTTTCTTCTTAAAGGACAACTCAGCCTCAAATGTTGTCTACATATCCTGGTCATGATGTTGTCACTTTGGTGCAAATTAGTTGAAAGTTAAACTTTCTGCCTAAAACCGTCTGTGAGGCGCCATCTGCTGGCGACCTGTATTACTACATTTGAATTTTGAATCTGGCGCCAACACTGGCGCGGCAGCAAGACCTGACGTCTGAAGCAAGACCTGACGTCTGAAGCAAGACCTGACGTCTGAAGCAAGACCTGACGTCTGAAGCAAGACCTGACGTCTGAAGCAAGACCTGACGTCTGAAGCAAGACCTGACGTCTGAAGCAAGACCTGACGTCTGAAGCAAGACCTGACGTCTGAAGCAAGACCTGACGTCTGAAGCGAAACCTGACGTCTGAAGCAAGACCTGACGTCTGAAGCAAGACCTACGTCTGAAGCAGACCTGACGTCTGAAGCGAGACCTGACGTCTGAAGCGAGACCTGACGTCTGAAGCGAGACCTGACGTCTGAAGCGAGACCTGACGTCTGAAGCGAGACCTGACGTCTGAAGCAAGACCTGACGTCTGAAGCAAGACCTGACGTCTGAAGCAAGACCTGACGTCTGAAGCAAGACCTGACGTCTGAAGCAAGACCTGACGTCTGAAGCAAGACCTGACGTCTGAAGCAAGACCTGACGTCTGAAGCAAGACCTGACGTCTGAAGCAAGACCTGACGTCTGAAGCGAGACCTGACGTCTGAAGAGACCTGACGTCTGAAGCAAGACCTGACGTCTGAAGCAAGACCTGACGTCTGAAGCAAGACCTGACGTCTGAAGCAAGACCTGACGTCTGAAGCAAGACCTGACGTCTAAAGGAGACCTGACGTCTGAAGCAAGACCTGACGTCTGAAGCAAGACCTGACGTCTGAAGCAAGACCTGACGTCTGAAGCAAGACCTGACGTCTGAAGCAAGACCTGACGTCTGAAGCAAGACCTGACGTCTGAAGCAAGACCTGACGTCTGAAGCAAGACCTGACGTCTGAAGCAAGACCTGACGTCTGAAGCAAGACCTGACGTCTGAAGCAAGACCTGACGTCTGAAGCAAGACCTGACGTCTGAAGCGAGACCTGACGTCTGAAGCGAGACCTGACGTCTGAAGCAGACCTGACGTCTGAAGCAGGCCTGACGTCTGAAGACCTGACGTCTGAAGCAAGACCTGACGTCTGAAGCAAGACCTGACGTCTGAAGCAAGACCTGACGTCTGAAGCAAGACCTGACGTCTGAAGCAAGACCTGACGTCTGAAGCAAGACCTGACGTCTGAAGCAAGACCTGACGTCTGAAGCAAGACCTGACGTCTGAAGCAAGACCTGACGTCTGAAGCAAGACCTGACGTCTGAAGCGAAACCTGACGTCTGAAGCGAGACCTGACGTCTGAAGCGAGACCTGACGTCTGAAGCGAGACCTGACGTCTGAAGCGAGACCTGACGTCTGAAGCGAGACCTGACGTCTGAAGCGAGACCTGACGTCTGAAGCGAGACCTGACGTCTGAAGCGAGACCTGACGTCTGAAGCGAGACCTGACGTCTGAAGCGAGACCTGACGTCTGAAGCCCCCCGCCCAGAGCAATGTAAACGGCCCAGTCTCGTTCACGCCCCCTTCAGTCCTCCAGGCTACGCCCATTTAGAGGAAGATTTGAACAGGAAATGTGAGTGACGTAAGCTCCGAGGAGCGGGGGTGAGAACCACTTTAAATCCTTCAGTTTTCTACAAATCTACACTTCCAGCAGCAGCTCTGATTGGTCAGAACACCATGAGGTTCTGTTGGACCAGGTTTGTCACGTGTGATGACATCATAGTTCCCCTGGTGTAAGCGATGACATCATAGTTCCCCGGTGCCAGCTCAGGTTTGATATTTACCCGAGTTACTTCAGGAGGTGTTTAATTTCTCCTCCACATGTCCGGCCCCCTGTGCCCCTCCATCTGTCAGCTTCCTGTCTGACTCAGGAGCTGCCCAGGCCTGGAACTCAATCTGTGTGCACAAAGTGGGTCCTGCGAGTCCAAAGCGGGTCTTACGAGTCCAAAGCAGGTCCTATGAGTCCAAAGCAGGTCCTTGGAGCCCAAAGCAGGTCCTACGAGTGCAAAGACCAGTTCAGGAAAACAACCATTTCTGCTCAAAACACACCTCAGTCCTGAAACAGGACGTCCACAAAATATCAAAATACTCACAAAAGAAAGAACCGTTCATTCAGGAGCCACACAGGGACCACGAGGAGCCACACAGGGACCACGAGGAGCCACACAGGTACCACGATGAGGTCCGTGATGAGGTCCATGATGAGGTCCATGATGAGGTCCGTGATGAGGGCCGTGATGAGGGTCAGAATGAGAAATACAGCCTTACACCAACAGATTAGTCCCAACATCCAAACCTTCCCCTCCTCAGCCTAAAGCTAACTCTGGGATGACCTACATTCACAGGGTTAGCATGCTAGCACCAACGCCGCGGGCCGTTCTCCTCCTGCTTATTCCTGAACTGAAAACTACCGTAAGCTAATCTCAACACGAAGCAAACACGCACAACAAGCAAGTGGACCAAGCAGAGACTCGTTTGCATTTCCTTGAATATAATCATTTCCGTTTGTGTTTTCTGCCCCGGGAGAAATATCCACCTTAACAAGAGAAATATCCACCTTAACAAGAGAAATATCCACCTTAACAAGAGAAATATCCACCTTAACAAGAGAAATATCCACCTTAACAAGAGCTGTGTGCCTTTTCTGTATCATGTTGAATATGCAAAAGGAACACGCTCGGAATAAGTGATGAGGCTGAAAATGAGTCCAGGCGGTGGCTGGAAGCGTGGTCGGTCTGAACATGTGCCGTCTCTCGTCTCGCCGCTCTCTCTGACTGTGGCTCTCTCTGACTGTGGCTCTCTCTGACTGTGGCTCTCTCTGACTGTGGCTCTCTCTGACTGTGGCTCTCTCTGACTGTGGCTCTCTCTGACTGTGGCTCTCTCTGACTGTGGCTCTGAGACATTTCCAACTCTGTAGCCTCCTGTTACTCACTGATTCTGATTCTGATGCAGGAGTCAGAAAACACTTTAGACGCCGTGTCTTTGCCACATGTGGAGGAGGAAGGAAACATGTAGACTAACATGTACTCTGACATGTACTCTAACATGTATTCTAACATGTATTGTAACATGTACTCTAACATGTACACTAACATGTACTCTGACATGTACTCTAACATGTATTCTAACATGTATTGTAACATGTACTCTAACATGTACACTAACATGTACTCTAACATGTATTCTAACATGTACTCTAACATGTACACTAACATGTACACTAACATGTACTCTAACATGTACTCTAACATGTACACAAACATGTGAACAAAAATGTACACTAACATGTACACTAACATGTACTCTAACATGTACACAAACATGTGAACAAACATGTACACTAACATGTACACAAACATGTAAACTAACAAGTACACTAACATGTACACTAACATGTACTCTAACATGTACTCTAACATGTACTCTAACATGTAAACTAACATGTACTCTAACATGTATTCTAACATGTACTCTAACATGTACACTAACATGTACTCTAACATGTATTCTAACATGTACTCTAACATGTACACTAACATGTGAACTAACATGTACACTAACATGTACACTAACATGTAAACTAACATGTACTCTAATATGTAAACTAGCATGTACTCTAACATGTACTCTAACATGTACTCCAACATGTACACTAACATGTAGACTAACATGTACACTAACATGTACTCTAACATGTACTCTAACATGTACACAAACATGTACACGAACATGTACTCTAACATGTACACTAACATGTAAACTAACATGTACTCTAACATGTACACTAACATGTAAACTAACATGTACACTAACATGTACACTAACATGTAAATTAACATGTAAACTAACATGTACACTAACATGTAAACTAACATGTACACTAACATGTACACTAACATGTGAACAAACATGTAAACTAACAAGTACACTAACATGTACACTAACATGTACACAAACATGTACACTAACATGTGAACTAACATGTAAACTAACATGTAAACTAACATGTACTCTAACATGTACTCTAACATGTACTCTAACATGTACTCTAACATGTACACTAACTTGTTAACTAACATGTAAACTAACATGTACACAAACATGTACACTAACATGTGAACTAACATGTAAACTAACATGTAAACTAACATGTACTCTAACATGTACTCTAACATGTACACTAACATGTACAATAACATGTACTCTAACATGTACACTAACATGTACTCTAACATGTACACTAACATGTACACTAACATGCACACTAACATGTAAACTAACATGTACACTTACATGTACACTAACATGTACACTAACATGTAAACTAACATGTACTCTAACATGTACTCTAACATGTACACTAACATGTACAATAACATGTACTCTAACATGTACACTAACATGTACTCTAACATGTACACTAACATGTACACTAACATGCACACTAACATGTAAACTAACATGTACACTTACATGTATACTAACATGTACACTAACATGTACACTAACATGTGAACTAACATGTAAACTAGCATGTACACTAACATGCACACTAACATGTACACTAACATGCACACTAACATGTGAACTAACATGTAAACTAGCATGTACACTAACATGCACACTAACATGTACACTAACATGTACACTAACATGTACACTAACATGTACTCTAACATGCACACTAACATGTAAACTAGCATGTACACTAACATGTAAACTAACATGTACAATAACATGTACTCTAACATGTACTCTAACATGTACACTAACATGCACACTAACATGTAAACTAACATGTACAATAACATGTACTCTAACATGTACACTAACATGTAAACTAACATGTACACTTACATGTACACTACCATGCACTCTAATATGTACACTAACATGTAAACTAACATGTACTCTAACATGTACTCTAACATGTAAACTAACATGTACACTAACATGTACACTAACATGTACTCTAACATGTACATTAACATGTACTCTAACATGCACACTAACATGTAAACTAACATGTACACTTACATGTACACTAACAACATGTACTCTAATATGTAAACTAACATGTACACTTACATGTACACTAACATGTACTGTAAACTAACATGTACACTTACATGTACACTAACATGTACTCTAATATGTACACTAACATGAACACTAACATGTACACTAACATGTACACTTACATGTACACTAACATGTACTCTAATATGTAAACTAACATGTACACTTACATGTACACTAACATGTACTCTAATATGTACACTAACATGTACACTAACATGTACTCTAACATGTACTCTAACATGTACACTAACATGTACACTAACATGTACACTAACATGTACACTAACATGTACACTAACATGTACTCTAACATGCACACTAACATGTAAACTAACATGTACACTTACATGTACACTAACATGTAAACTAACATGTACTCTAACATGTACTCTAACATGTACACTAACATGTACACTAACATGTACTCTAACATGTACACTAACATGTACACTTACATGTACACTAACATGTACTCTAATATGTAAACTAACATGTACACTAACATGTACTCTAACATGTACTCTAACATGTACTCTAACATGTACACTAACATGTACTCTAACATGTACACTAACATGTACACTAACATGTACACTAACATGTACACTTACATGTACACTAACATGTACTCTAATATGTAAACTAACATGTACACTTACATGTACACTAACATGTACTCTAATATGTATACTAACATGTACACTAACATGTACACTTACATGTACACTAACATGTACTCTAACATGTAAACTAACATGTACACTTACATGTACACTAACATGTACTCTAATATGTAAACTAACATGTACACTAACATGTACTCTAACATGTACTCTAACATGTACACTAACATGTACTCTAACATGTACACTAACATGTACACTAACATGTACACTAACATGTACACTTACATGTACACTAACATGTACTCTAATATGTAAACTAACATGTACACTTACATGTACACTAACATGTACTCTAATATGTATACTAACATGTACACTAACATGTACACTTACATGTACACTAACATGTACTCTAATATGTAAACTAACATGTACACTAACATGTACTCTAACATGTACTCTAACATGTACACTAACATGTACACTAACATGTACACTAACATGTACACTAACATGTACTCTAACATGTACTCTAACATGTACACTAACATGTCACTAACATGTACACTAACATGTACACTAACATGTAACCTAATGACCTACTGTACAATACACTAACATGTACACTAACATGTACACTAACATGTATAACATGTACTCTAACATGTACTCTAACATGTACACTAACATGTACACTAACATGTACACTAACATGATTATGGATCATTTTGGGAGATAAAAGGTTTTTAAAGCCATATTAGCAGAAAAATGGAGCAAAGTATTTTTTTCCCCTTTTTTAAAATGACTTTTGGCCGAGTTAGTCTCAGATCTCTGCGGCCGCACGAACACACTGTGCCTTCTCCGTCATTATTGTGTTGAGGATAAAAACCTGATGCTCCTCAGCTCTGGGCAACACATGGTTCAGGCGAGAGTTTAGGGTTCAGCTTCAGTGAGTACTTTATACTTTTCTTCAAGATGGCGCCTCGTACGGTCGACATGGCTCTTTGCTGCTCTCTTTTTCTTTTGTTTTTACTTTTTAACTGTGCATCTGGCTGTTCCTACACCCGTGAGGAACTTATGAACATCCGACCCACCGTTCCCATGGACCTATTGCCTGTTTTCTTGGCATCTGCGGCTGATTTAGTTCATGTTCTAGCCAAAAAAGTGTGGGCCCGTAAAAGGGGAAAGCGAGGAGGCCTGCTCGTGCGTCTTAGGAGGAGAGGAGCGCGCACGGCTCTCCCCGGCATTTTTCTCTCCAACGTACGCTCACTGGGCAATAAGATGGACGAACTCAGCCTGCTCATGAGAAGAAACAAGGACTTCGCCACATCCTGTGTCCTCTGCTTCACTGAGACCTGGCTAAATGAGCGGATCCCGGACTGCGCTCTGGAGCTGCAGGGCTTTGGGCTGTTTCGCGCGGATCGCCATTGTGCGCTCTCAGGGAAGAGCAGAGGCGGAGGGCTCTGTTTCTACGTCAATACAAACTGGTGTAACGATGTGACAGTGATCTCCAAGCACTGCTCTCCTGCTCTGGAATATCTTTTCATCCATTGTAAACCATATTACTCCCCGCGGGAAATTGTTTCATTCATTCTTGCCTCTGTTTACATACCGCCATGCGCGGACGCGCGCGAGGCTCAGCGCGCACTCGCAGAGCAAGTACTGTGTATGGAACGCTTATACCCGGACTCTCTGATTATTATCCTGGGGGATTTTAATAAGGGAAACTTGAGCCAGGAATTACCCAAATACAGACAGTTTATCAAATGCCCGACCAGAGAGGAGAACACTCTGGATCACTGTTACACCACCGTGCGCGGAGCTTTTCGCGCTGTTCCCAAGCCAGCCCTCGGCTTCTCAGATCACTCCATGATACATCTGGTTCCTGCTTACAGACAGAGACTAAAGCTCTCGAAACCTGCAGTGAGGAGCTCCAAAGTGTGGTCTGATGAAGCTGTGGAAGAGCTGCGCGCATGCATGGAATCTACAGACTGGGACCTTTTCAGAGCTGCCACAGACAGCTTGGATGAATATACGGACACTGTGACGTCATACATCCACTTCTGTGAGGATAGCATCATTCCAACAAGGACCAGGGTCATCTATAACAACGACAAACCCTGGTTCACTGCTAAACTCCGGCAGCTCAGGAAAGCAAAGGAGTCTGCTTTCAGGGAGGGTGACCGCAGCGGCTACAAAGCAGCTAAATATCAGTTCAGGAAAGAACTGAAAGCAGCCAAGTCCCGGCACAGAGAACGACTACAGGAGCAGTTTGGTAACAACGATACTGCTTCTGTCTGGAGGGGCCTACGGGAGATCACCAACTACAAACCCAAAGCCCCCCCCTGTGCTGATGACCACAAGCTAGCTGACGATCTGAACTTATTTTTCAGTCGCTTTGATGCTGCCCCTGACACCTCTCCCTCCCCCACCCCCCACTACTCTAACGACCCACCCATCAGCCCTGCCCCCAGCCTAACAATAGCCGCTAAAGAGATTAAACAACTCTTCCTGAGGCTGCACCCCCGCAAAGCTCCTGGCCCGGACCACGTGTCTCCGGCCACTCTGAGACACTGCGCCAGTGAGCTTACTCCTGTGTTCACGGACATTTTCAACTCCTCTCTGCAGTCCTGCCATGTCCTGCTTCAAATCCTCCATCATTGTCCCCGTCCCGAAGAAGCCCAGGATCACAGGACTCAATGACTACAGACCTGTAGCACTTACGTCTGTCGTCATGAAGTCATTTGAACGCCTGGTTCTCTCCCATCTCAAGTCCCTCACCTCCCCCCTCCTGGACCCCCTGCAGTTCGCCTACAGAGCCAACAGATCTGTAGACGACGCCATTAACCTGGCCCTCCACCACATCCTACAGCACCTGGACTCCCCGGGGACCTACGCCAGGGTCCTGTTCGTGGACTTCAGCTCTGCCTTCAACACAATCCTGCCATCCCTGCTCCAGGACAAGCTCTCCCAGCTCAACGTGCCCGATTCCACCTGCAGGTGGATCACTGACTTCCTGACGGACAGGAAGCAGCGAGTGCGTCTGGGGAAGAATGTCTCGGACTCTCGGATTATAAATACAGGAGCCCCACAGGGCTGTGTTCTTTCTCCCCTGCTCTTCTCCCTGTACACCAACCACTGCACCTCCAGCCACGACTCCGTGAAGCTGATCAAGTTCGCGGACGACACCACCCTCATTGGACTCATCTCCAACAACGATGAGTCCGCCTACAGGAGGGAGGTGGACCGGCTGGTGTCCTGGTGCAGTGGTAACAACCTGGAGCTGAACGCCCAGAAGACAGTGGAGATGATTGTGGACTTCAGGAAGAGCACTGTCCCCCCGCCCCCACCCTCCGTGATGGACTCCCCCATCACCTCTGTGGAGTCCTTCCGTTTCCTGGGCACCACCATCACCCAGGACCTCAAGTGGGAGCCGACCATCAGCTCCCTCATCAAGAAGGCCCAGCAGAGGATGTACTTCCTGCGGCAGCTCAGGAAAGCCAAGCTGCCTGCACAGATGTTGGTGCAGTTCTACACGGCCATCATCGAGTCCATCCATCACCTCCTCCATCACCGTGTGGTTCGCTGGAGCCACAGTCAGGGACAAACAGAGACTACAGCGCATTGTGCGCTCTGCAGAGGAAGTGATCGGCCGCAGCCTTCCATCGCTGCAGGACCTGTACGTCGCCCGAGCTCGAGGCCGGGCTGGTCGTATCACAGCCGACCCCTCTCACCCTGCACATGGACTATTCCAACCACTCCCCTCAGGCAGGAGGCTGCGGTCCATCAGGACTAGAACCTCCCGCCACAAGAACAGTTTCTTCCCCTCTGCTGTTGGACTCTTGAACACTTCTTAACCTGTCCCCCCGCCCTTTATAAAGTCACTTTACTGCCCATCATACGTCACTTTACTTCACTGTACTGCTGTCACCTTACATTGTGTGCACCATGTGCACTTGTATATTGTAAATAGTAACTGTAACTCTATTTTAAATTTAAATTTATTCTTTAGAAGTGTTTTTTATTCTTATTTTTATTATCTCTTTTTGACTGTTGCACTGAGCCAAAGCAATTTCCAAGTCTGTGACCTCCCGTTACTTACGTTGGCAATAAAAATGATTCTGATTCTGATTCTGATACTTCTTATTTACATCACGTACATTTCTTATACTGTATTATTATGTTCAAGATAGAGATTTTGTACTTGTCCTTTGATGCCAGAGTTAGAGATTTTGTTTTTATTTTACTGAGTATAGCTGTTGTGTGCTCCTCATTCCTACTGCTCTTGTGATGCAACACTGACATTTCCACACTGTAGGACACTGTAGGACTCCCACATTTTAGGAAAGAACCACCCTCTCCACTTTTTGATACTGAGACTGTAGACCCAGGACTAAAGCTGTAGATCCAGGACTGAGGCTGTAGACCCAGGACTGAGGCTGTAGACCCAGGACTGAGGCTGTAGACCCAGGACTAAAGCTGTAGATCCAGGACTGAGGCTGTAGACCCAGGACTGAGGCTGTAGACCCAGGACTGAGGCTGTAGACCCAGGACTGAGGCTGTAGACCCAGGACTGAGGCTGTAGACCCAGGACTGGATTTTGTGCCATTGAGACATTTTTTGCAGCGCAGTCACATCAAGAAACATGATTCTGCAGCAGGAGAGAGACATCTGCTGCCCACAAAGTATTCCTCCAACGTCTCCTGCAGCAAACTGGTGGGGGGGGGGGTATTAAATATATATATATATATATGAGGGGGTATTAAGTATATATATATGGGGGGGGGGGGGGGGGTGTACATCATAGAGCAGGAGCAGGTGGGCAAACATATGCATTATTAACAAATTTACTGAAATCACTTTAAAATGTAAATCTTCAGGCTGACCCTCCTTTTTATGTTGCTGGGTCTTTTTCCTTCCTTTGCACACACACACAACACACACACGCACACTACACACACAACACACTACACACAGTAAATATTTACTCACACACAGTGGGACATCTTTTTATCATCACAATGGAGCAGAAACTAATCAGATGGACTTGTACTTTTGCACCTGTTCTGTGTGTGTCCGTGTGCGTTTGTGTATAAGTGTATGTGTGCGTGTGTATGTGTGTATGTGTGTGTGTATATGTGTGTATGTGTATATGTGTGTATGTGTATATGTGTGTATGTGTATATGTGTGTATGTGTGTGTGTGTGTGTGTGTGTGTGTGTGTGTGTATGTGTGTGTGTGTGTGTGTGTGTATGTGTGTGTATGTATGTGTGTGTGTGTGTGTGTGTATATGTGTGTGTGTGTATATGTGTGTAGTGGTGTGTGTGTGTGCGTGTAGTGGTGTATGTATGTGTGTGTGTATATGTGTGTAGTGGTGTATGTGTGTGTGTGTGCGTGTAGTGGTGTATGTATGTATGTGTGTATATGTGTGTGTGTGTATGTGTGTGTGTGTGTGTCCGTGTGCGTTTGTGTATAAGTGTATATGTGTGTGTGTGTGTGTGTGTGTGTGTTTGATCCTCTTCGCTCCCAGTTTCTCTTCCTTTTGTGTGTAAATGTTTCATATATTAATGTAACACAATAATAAACACTAACGTAAACAGGAAGTAGTTTCTCTGAACCAGGAAATAAAAGTTTGTCTCATTTGCTGCTTTGAAAAATACTCAGAAAGAAATCACGAGATATTTATTTTATTTCTTCTAAAAATAAAAGTTTTTAATTGAGCCTCGTGCTCTGTTCCTGGCAAACCACCTCAGCATGTTTTTGGCACAACTGCGGTTAGAGTCGGCAAAACTACACTTTTTAACATTTTCCACTTGCTCTTCTGTCGTTCAGAGTTTTTTCCTCTGAAAATCAAACATCGATAAAAACAAACACAAAAACATCACATCAACGTCTTCTTTTCTCAGCTCGGCCTTGGATCCTTTACTATTAAACTTATGCACTACACACACACACACACACTACACACACACTATACACACTACACACACACATCTGCACACACACATCTGCACACACACATGCACTACACACACACACACACATCTGCTCGCACACACACACATCCATGCACTACACACACACACACTTGCACGCAGACACGCACACACACTTGCACGCATACACTCACACATTACATACGCACGCACTACACGCACACCTGCATGCACTACACACCCGCACGCACACACACACTACAGACGCACTACACACACTACGCACGCACACACACACACTACATACACGCGCACTACACACACCCGCACACACACAGACACACACAAACACACACACACACGTTTGTATGAAGACAAAGCTCTTATCTGGTCTCTAACAAAGACAGATTTGGGCCAAAAACATCTTCGGGTCCAAAGTGTAAGAATCCCGGGCTGCTCCACGCTGCAGACGGCGCTGCAGACGGCCCTGCAGACGGCCCTGCAGACGGCCCTGCAGACGGCGCTGCAGACGCCCCTGCAGACGGCCCTGCAGACGGCGCTGCAGACGGCCCTGCAGACGGCCCTGCAGACGGCGCTGCAGACGCCGCTGCAGACGGCCCTGCAGACGGCCCTGCAGACGGCGCTGCAGACGGCGCTGCAGACGCCGCTGCAGACGGCCCTGCAGACGGCCCTGCAGACGGCGCTGCAGACGCCGCTGCAGACGGCCCTGCAGACGCCGCTGCAGACGGCGCTGCAGACGCCGCTGCAGACGGCCCTGCAGACGGCCCTGCAGACGGCGCTGCAGACGGCCCTGCAGACGGCCCTGCAGACGGCGCTGCAGACGGCCCTGCAGACGGCGCTGCAGACGGCCCTGCAGACGGCCCTGCAGACGGCGCTGCAGACGCCGCTGCAGACGGCCCTGCAGACGGCCCTGCAGACGGCCCTGCAGACGCCCTGCAGACGGCCCTGCAGACGGCCCTGCAGACGGCCCTGCAGACGGCCCTGCAGACGGCGCTGCAGACGCCGCTGCAGACGCCGCTGCAGACGGCCCTGCAGACGGCCCTGCAGACGGCGCTGCCTGCAGACGGCCCTGCAGACGGCCCTGCAGACGGCGCTGCAGACGGCGCTGCAGACGGCGCTGCAGACGGCGCTGCAGACGGCCCTGCAGACGGCGGCGCTTTAAAGACGCCAGATTAGTGCACAAAGCTCGTTACTTGAATCTCGAATGATGAAAGTGTGAAGTGGCCCGGAGCATTTAGTGTGTAATCAGACATCACAGAAAGCTGTATTCTTCTTCCGACACGTCCAGGCCCTTTGTGTAGCTGCTGCAGTGATAGTTTCCATAATGAGGAGAGATCGCACTGACACGACGCCCCGTTCACGATCCACCCTCGGAACGACACTCGGTCTTATCGCCGCTGTGGAAAATCTATACACCAGTGTCTCCCAAAGTGGGGTCCGCGGCCCCACTTTCCACTGTAATCATTTTTGTATTACAATGTTTGTAGCAGAGGCTATTTCCCCAAAATAAAATAACCAGAAGAGCCTATTCTTAATGTTGTCTTCTTGGTTATTATTTTGGGGGGCCACGCAGACCCGTCAGATTTTTAAGGGGGCCTCGGTGTTACTGAGTTTGGGAATGGCTGCTATACACGATATTATGATGAAAGAAGAAGCAACAGTCGCCGAGTCTCCTCCGTTAAAGAGAGATTTTACTTTTAGATACGAGATTTATTAAAGTGGAAGTGATGTCATGTGCTGTGTGTGATCCCAGATCAAAGGTCACACTCATGTTCAATTAATTTATCATTTATAGTTTTAAATCACAGCAGCTGTCGTCTTGGAGGACTTTAGGATCAGAAATATTGTTATTGTCGTAAGTAACAGGAAGTTTCAGAGCAGGAATCTGCTTTGGCTCAAGCTGCAGTTATTAAAGTCAAAAGTACACTGCAAAAAATGGTGCACATTCTGAGGCTGAAATAAAACGAGACTTTTCAAAGTAAAACAACTAAAATGATCTTGCTTTAAAAAGACACAGAAATATTTCCCTTGGAACGAGAAAACACCGCAACAGCTCTGGAAAAAAGACATTGTCCTGTTTTCATTTGTCTCTCGTCAGCCCTTTGTCTTCTTTTGTTGTACTTCCTGTTTCCTGCCCCGCCCACATGTGCCCCTCCCTCATTTGCCCCGCCCTCATGTGCCCCGCCCTCATGTGCCCCGCCCTCATGTGCCCCGCCCACATGTGCCCCGCCCTCATGTGTCTCACATGTGTCTCGTTAGTCTCGTGTTTTTTGGTGATTTTGTGTCTACTCTGGATATTTGATCATTTTATCTACTTATTTATTTGCTCATTAGTTTTTTAATTTACATGAGATTGTAAAATGCATGTTCACAACTGTCAGCCAGATTATCCAATCAGAGAGCAGAAGGCTCCCATTTGAGTTGCCAGTTTGTTAGATGACATTTAGCTAGTTTTGGCGCCGTCTCATTATTTTTTTCCCTGTAAAATCATCAGAGAGCAGTTCGTCGAACAACAGCAGCCAGAGGTGACACTCAGATCTTGTTCCATGCTAGCTAAACCCCGGCGCTAACGAGATCTGCAGCTCTGACTCCACAGACTCCACACTATCTCCAGTGAAGAAGGTGTGTGGGAACAGGCCTGTGTAATCATGTGTGATAAGAAAGATACACATGCACACACACACGCACACACATACACACACAAGCATGCACACACACACATACAAGCCCACACACACACACACAAGCCCAAACATACACACACACACGCACACACACACGCACGCACACACACACACACACACACACACACAAGCCCCACACACACACACACATGCACACACAGACACACACACACGCACACACAGACACACACACACACACAAGCCCACACACGCACGCACACACACACACACACGCACACACAGACACACACACACACACAAGCCCACACACACACACACACACACACAGACACACACACACAAGCCCACACACACACGCACACACACGCACACACACACACACGCACACACAGACACACACACACACACACATACAAGCCCACACACACACACACACAAGCCCACACGCACACACAGACACACACATACAAGCCCACACACACACATACAAGCCCACACACACACACATACACAAGCCCAAACACACACACACATACAAGCCCCCACACACACACACACGCACACACAAACACAAAAATACACGCACACACATGCACGTGCGCACACACACAAACACAAACACGCATGCACGCGCGCACACACACACACACACATACACGTCCAAAGTGCTGAGGTGTGTTGTGCGGCTCCAGGATGCAGCAGGATGAGGCCTCCTCCTGGTCTTATCGGGCTCATCGTGGTCTGTGAGAGCAGGGCCTCTCTGTGTAAACCACATGAATGATGAACACACACAAACAGAGACAGAACACACACAAACAGAGAGACAGAACACACACATACAGAGAGACAGAACACACACATACAGAGAGACAGAACACACACATACAGAGAGATAGAACACACACATACAGAGAGACAGAACACACACATACAGAGACAGAACACACACATACAGAGAGACAGAACACACACATACAGAGAGACAGAGAGACAGAACACACACATACAGAGAGACAGAACACACACATACAGAGAGACAGAACACACACATACAGAGAGACAGAACACACACATACAGAGAGACAGAACACACACATACAGAGAGAGACAGAACACACACATACAGAGAGACAGAACACACACACATACATACAGAGAGACAGAACACACACATACAGAGAGACAGAACACACACATACAGAGAGACAGAACACACACATACAGAGAGACAGAACACACACATACAGAGAGACAGAACACACACATACAGAGAGACAGAACACACACATACAGAGAGACAGAACACACACATACAGAGAGACAGAACACACACATACAGAGAGACAGAACACACACATACAGAGAGACAGAACACACACATACAGAGAGACAGAACACACACATACAGAGAGACAGAACACACACATACAGAGAGACAGAACACACACATACAGAGAGACAGAACACACACATACAGAGAGACAGAACACACACATACAGAGAGACAGAACACACACATACAGAGAGACAGAACACACACATACAGAGAGACAGAACACACACATACAGAGAGACAGAACACACACATACAGAGAGACAGAACACACACATACAGAGAGACAGAACACACACATACAGAGAGACAGAACACACACATACAGAGAGACAGAACACACACGATCTACAGAGAGACAGAACACACACATACAGAGAGACAGAACACACACATACAGAGAGACAGAACACACACATACAGAGAGACAGAATAATTATTTGGCATAACAATGTCTCTGTTTTTAAGCGGCACACAGTAGTAGTAGTGATTGTCTTTTAATGTTGCCTCTTGTGACATCATATTCATAAACTTTGTGTCCTCAACTGACATTTGGGGTCTTTCCTCATATTCTTTTTCGGGAAAGTCATGACTGTATTGTTTGTTTTAGCATAGTCTCTATATTATCAATTGAAATGCGGTTTACTGATGCCACAGGTCTGCCATGTCCGTCCACAGCTGCAGAATTGAGCGGTCCATTCACCACCCATCCAAGTAAAGTTCTGACAGCATAGGGGCCATTACCCTGACTGTTTATAATCTGCCAGGGTTCCATTGCCTTTGGAACATCTACTCCTATAAGGAGTTCCACATCCGCATCAATTTCTTTGATTCTCACTTCTTTTAGATACGGCCATTTGTGAATGTCAGTTTGTGTCAATATGTTTGCTCTTGTCACTGGGATTTTCCATTGAGTATACGTTTTTTCCAGATCAATAAAGTTATTGCCACTCCACATCACCAACTTTTAAACCATTAATTTCGTAACTGTTTACTGGTTTTCTCTGCCCCATTGTTTGCAGCAAAACTTGTGTCCTTTTTCCATTGACATTCAGTTGACGCATTATATTCTCTGTACAGAATGTGGCTGTGCTTCCTGGGTCTAGGAAGGCATAGGTAAGGATTGTTTTGTCACCTTTTAGCTGGACAGGCACAATCGATAATTTACAGTCACTTCCAGCCCCAGTATCACAACTGTTCTTCTCCATTGAAAGTAATGTGCCACTCACTGATTGTTTTAGTTTCATATTTGAATTGTCCGCTGAGTTGTGTATATGCAACACACTTGGATGTTTAGCTTGACAGTACTCACATGTCATCCTTCTTTTACATGCTTTGCTCATATGTCCTTTGTTCAAGCAGCCAAAGCAGATGCCATTTGTTTTAAGCAGATGCACTTTAACATCATGTGTCTGTGCTTTTAACTTTTCACACTGATCCAGAGAATGATTTGATTTACCACAAATACAACACACAGGTTTATAGTCATTAACAGTTGTGACAAAACTGCTGCTCTTATTCTTCTGTGGCAGGTGAGCTCTAGATTCTACTGTTACAGTGGGCTTGGAGTATGTTTTTCTAGAAACATCCTGGATTTCACCAAAGAGAGGATCTTGTAGAATATTAGACTGTTTTTCAATGAATGCTACAAGGTCGGAAAATCGTGCTGGTGTTTTGTTTGTTTCCAGAAGTTCATGTGCCACTGTTCTCCATCTTTCTTTGAGTTTATAGGGCAGTTTAGACAACACCAGTTTTAGATTAGATGGTAGATTTAATTCTTGCATGGATTTTAATTGTTTCATTGTGTTGAGACATCCTCTTAAATAAAGAGCGTATGCATGCAGTGCATTTCCATCTTCTGGCTTTATGTTGTTCCAATTGAGAGCCCTTTCAATATATGCACTAGCAAGTTTGAATTCATTTCCAAAATGTGTTTTTAACAGTCCTTTTGCCTCTTTGTAGCTTATACTTGCATCCATGTGAAAGCAGCTTCTTACAAGCTCTCTGGCTTGACCACTTGTGTACTGTTCCAAGTAATAGAGTCTATCATCCTCATTGTCCGTTTTACTCTCGATTCCATATTTAAATGCTCTCACAAATGTCTGATACTGTAATGGATTGCCATCAAACACTTGTATTTGTCTGGAGGGTAGTGAAGATTGTTGCTGCTGTGACATTAGAAGACTTGTGATGTCATTTTGCTTTTTAATAACAGTCAGCAGTTCTTTGGATAGAGTTGGTTTGTCCATGTCATTACTTATGCTTGTGTCACTTTCAGATCCATTTTCTGATGGAGCTCTATCAGATGAAGATTTGTTTAGTTCTCTTTCCCCAACATTTGGTTGATTTATAAAACGTTGAAGCGGGGTCTTTGGAATAGCACCAATGTCCGGGTATTCAAATGAATGTATAGAATTTTCCATTGAGACATTTTTGATCATGTTGACATTTTTATTATCTTTCATTTCATATTGCACTTTTTGTGACATTCTCTCTTCTGGACTTTGAGTGAAACTGTCCAAAACCTTTAGCTTTGCATCAGATGCGGCTATATCAGAAGCCAGTCCAATTTTCTCAAGCTCAGCATTTATTTTAGCCTTTTCCACTTCCATAGCATGTTTCTTTGTTAACACAGCCATGCGTGCCTCCATAGCAGCTTTTTCTGAGGCTACTTTCAGACGCTCACTTATAGCACTGGAGACTTGTGATTTTGAGCTTCCATATGATTTTACAGACCTCTTTGACATGTATGACATTTTCGTTTTCACAGAGTGTCTTGATCCACTTGATACATTTGATGCACTGTCATTGGGTTCAATTAAGATCTGTGGGTCATTTAGAGCCTTTATTCTTGTTTTTGTGCTCTCCATAAATGCATTAAATATTTCCATTTTTGGTTCATACCAATCCATTGTTTCATTTTCTTGTACTTCTGGAGGTAAAAGTCTTTGCACAGATTTATGACTTTCTTCAAATTCCTTTAATGACACTTTAAAATGTTCATATTGATTTGTTAAATAGTCCGGATTTGGTGAGACAAGAGGATTTGTGAAGAGTTCTTTGATGTCATTCATGCGTCTTGTACAAGCACCCAACTTTCCTCTCCGACTAGCACAGAGTCTTTTAAAGTCTTTTCCTACAACTTTAGCTTCGCTGTCCACACTATCCTGTGTGGTTGCGTCCAATTCCTCTTCTTGGCGTAGGCTCCGTGCTCCTTCGGCTTCATTCATTTTATCTGCGCCGTCTGCGGGACTTTGCCGTTTCTCTACAAAACTTTCCAACTTCGTCTTGTTCAACTTACAATCCACGCATTAAATTCAGTGCGTGCTTGTTCAATGTTCAAAAGTGCGCTGTTGCGCTGACGTTACTCACATTCCACGCGAGTCGTCTCCAAACTCATCAATCCGCACGCGGCCCTTTGATCCATTCATCCATTCAAGCGAGGTCCGCGGTGCGGGGCGTGCCACTCCAGCGCAGGCTGGACTCAAGCGTTGCCGAGGTTTTTGACTTTGTGTTGGCTTCTAAGCGATCATGTAGCCATCCTTTGGGTGTCCGCTTTCTGACTCACAGCATCAAACACAACACGTAGCCGTAGATCCATTTCCAAAGTTTTATTTCAAATCAAATAGTCTGCGCGTAGCGTGCGTTCGTGCGTTGCGTTGCGGTCAAAAACCATGTCGGTCACCTTCATTATGCCGATTCCCCCACACCTGTCCCATCTATGAATACTCTGTCCCGTCTGTACCGCCCCCTCCAGCTCTAAATAAAGGAATATTACGATTTTTATATTTAACATTATCATAACAAATATATTTCAGGATGTTTTTAAATAATGATTTTAAATTCTAGAACTAATTTTAGACCTAAACATTTTAGACATTTAGACATTTTAATATAAACTAAATTATGGCCTTAACAGTACTTCCTGGTTCTAGTCAGGACTAATGTGGTCGTACTTCCTGGTTCTAGTCAGGACTAATGTGGTCGTACTTCCTGGTTCTAGTCAGGACTAATGTGGTCGTACTTCCTGGTTCTAGTCAGGACTAATGTGGTCGTACTTCCTGGTTCTAGTCAGGACTAATGTGGTCGTACTTCCTGGTTCTAGTCAGGACTAATGTGGTCGTACTTCCTGGTTCTAGTCAGGACTAATGTGGTCGTACTTCCTGGTTCTAGTCAGGACTAATGTGGTCGTACTTCCTGGTTCTAGTCAGGACTAATGTGGTCGTACTTCCTGGTTCTAGTCAGGACTAATGTGGTCGTACTTCCTGGTTCTAGTCAGGACTAATGTGGTCGTACTTCCTGGTTCTAGTCAGGACTAATGTGGTTGTACTTCCTGGTTCTAGTCAGGACTAATGTGGTCGTACTTCCTGGTTCTAGTCAGGACTAATGTGGTCGTACTTCCTGGTTCTAGTCAGGACTAATATGGTCGTACTTCCTGGTTCTAGTCAGGACTAATGTGGTCGTACTTCCTGGTTCTAGTCAGGACTAATGTGGTCGTACTTCCTGGTTCTAGTCAGGACTAATATGGTCGTACTTCCTGGTTCTAGTCAGGACTAATGTGGTCGTACTTCCTGGTTCTAGTCAGGACTAATGTGGTCGTACTTCCTGGTTCTAGTCAGGACTAATGTGGTCGTACTTCCTGGTTCTAGTCAGGACTAATGTGGTCGTACTTCCTGGTTCTAGTCAGGACTAATGTGGTCGTACTTCCTGGTTCTAGTCAGGACTAATGTGGTCGTACTTCCTGGTTCTAGTCAGGACTAATGTGGTCGTACTTCCTGGTTCTAGTCAGGACTAATGTGGTCGTACTTCCTGGTTCTAGTCAGGACTAATGTGGTCGTACTTCCTGGTTCTAGTCAGGACTAATGTGGTCGTACTTCCTGGTTCTAGTCAGGACTAATGTGGCGGTCGTACTTCCTGGTTCTAGTCAGGACTAATATGGTCGTACTTCCTGGTTCTAGTCAGGACTAATATGGTCGTACTTCCTGGTTCTAGTCAGGACTAATGTGGTCGTACTTCCTGGTTCTAGTCAGGACTAATGTGGTCGTACTTCCTGGTTCTAGTCAGGACTAATGTGGTCGTACTTCCTGGTTCTAGTCAGGACTAATGTGGTCGTACTTCCTGGTTCTAGTCAGGACTAATGTGGTCGTACTTCCTGGTTCTAGTCAGGACTAATGTGGTCGTACTTCCTGGTTCTAGTCAGGACTAATGTGGTCGTACTTCCTGGTTCTAGTCAGGACTAATGTGGTCGTACTTCCTGGTTCTAGTCAGGACTAATGTGGTCGTACTTCCTGGTTCTAGTCAGGACTAATGTGGTCGTACTTCCTGGTTCTAGTCAGGACTAATGTGGTCGTACTTCCTGGTTCTAGTCAGGACTAATGTGGTCGTACTTCCTGGTTCTAGTCAGGACTAATGTGGTCGTACTTCCTGGTTCTAGTCAGGACTAATATGGTCGTACTTCCTGGTTCTAGTCAGGACTAATGTGGTCGTACTTCCTGGTTCTAGTCAGGACTAATGTGGTCGTACTTCCTGGTTCTAGTCAGGACTAATGTGGTCGTACTTCCTGGTTCTAGTCAGGACTAATGTGGTCGTACTTCCTGGTTCTTGTCAGGACTAATGTGGTCGTACTTCCTGGTTCTAGTCAGGACTAATGTGGTCGTACTTCCTGGTTCTAGTCAGGACTAATGTGGTCGTACTTCCTGGTTCTAGTCAGGACTAATGTGGTCGTACTTCCTGGTTCTAGTCAGGACTAATGTGGTAGTACTTCCTGGTTCTAGTCAGGACTCGAGCTGCTGCATTTTGAATGTACTGCAGCTGTTTTACAGCCTGTTTGGACAGACCTGTGAGCAGGCCATTGCAGTAGTCTAACCTACTGGAGACAAATGCATGGATAAGAATCTCCAAGTCTGCTTTAGACACTATGTTTTTTGATCCTGGCAATGTTTTTTAGATGGTAAAAAGCTGCTGATGTTACTGATTTGATGTGGCTATTAAAATTTAAGTCTGAGTCCAGTATTACCCCTAGATTTCTGACCTTGTTTGAAGGTTTTAGGGAGAGAGACTGGAGGTGACAGATGACGCTCTCTCTTTGTTTCTGGACCAAAGACAATCATTTCAGTTTTGTCTGCGTTTAGCTGAAGGAAGTTGTTTTGCATCCACTCACTGATCTGTTGGATACAGTGAAGGAGCGAGTCCACTGGTCCACTGGTTATGAACATTTATGAACATTTATGAACATTTATGAACATTTATGAACATTTATAAACATTTATGAACATTTATGAACATTTATAAACATTTATGAACATTTATAAACATTTATAAACATTTATGAACACCGGTCTCTGCTCCTTATGGACCAATGTGTCTCTGTGTTGTCATCGGTGCATTCCTTGTTTTTGAACTGTCTGATTCTCTAATCTGTGTCGGTGAATCCACAGAGATAACTGCTGCTGTCACTCAGTGCTACACAAAAATAAATTGAACATATTGATATGAATCGATGAGATCCGATCACACAATGTTTTCGTCCGCTGTGAATGGCGTCTCACAATCTTTGGTTCCCGCCTTTATTCCCGTCACGTCTGCCGTGGGAGGCGGCAGAGCTTCTCGCTCGTGGGCCATTTGAATAATTCACTAAGATGTGAGTCTACGATTGGAGCGGGGCCCAGCCGAGGCCCCGTGCACCTGGGAGATAAGCAGCACAGACACAAGATACTGCTTTAGGGAGGACTTTGAGTGGGGGGGGGATAGGGTCAACCGCGGGGGGTCCGGCGTTGACAAGCGGTGCCAAGGAGATGTGGAGAGTTCCTACAAGATAACAATGGGCGAGGAGGAGTTTGACAGGACGTGATAATAGATGGCTCCACAGGTTGAGACGCGATGAGACAATTCCAAAGGTGCCGTAATAAATCAGAGAGAATCAGAGTCAGCGTCACACGGATCCTCGGCTCCTGATTACCTGCTGCACTTCATACATCAAAACACACAATTGTTTCGTTTCCAATTTAATTCACGTTTGCTGTTTTTTTTTCTTTTTTTTGATGCATAAATATTGAAACGATTTGATTTATGCTTTTTCTGATGTGTTTGAAGAAGATGGAGGCTTTGGACAGAGACAAGATGGAGGCTTTGGAGAGACAAGATGGAGGCTTTGGACAGAGACAAGATGGAGGCTTTGGAGAGACAAGATGGAGGCTTTGGACAGAGACAAGATGGAGGCTTTGGACAGAGACAAGATGGAGGCTTTGGACAGAGACAAGATGGAGGCTTTGGACAGAGACAAGATGGAGGCTTTGGACAGAGACAAGATGGAGGCTTTGGACAGAGACAAGATGGAGGCTTTGAAGAGACAAGATGGAGGCTTTGGACAGAGACAAGATGGAGGCTTTGGAGAGACAAGATGGAGGCTTTGGACAGAGACAAGATGGAGGCTTTGGACAGAGACAAGATGGAGGCTTTGGACAGAGACAAGATGGAGGCTTTGGAGAGAGACAAGATGGAGGCTTTGGACAGAGACAAGATGGAGGCTTTGGACAGAGACAAGATGGAGGCTTTGAAGAGACAAGATGGAGGCTTTGGAGAGAGACAAGATGGAGGCTTTGGACAGAGACAAGATGGAGGCTTTGGACAGAGACAAGATGGAGGCTTTGGAGAGAGACAAGATGGAGGCTTTGGACAGAGACAAGATGGAGGCTTTGGACAGAGACAAGATGGAGGCTTTGGACAGAGACAAGATGGAGGCTTTGGACAGAGACAAGATGGAGGCTTTGGACAGAGACAAGATGGAGGCTTTGGAGAGACAAGATGGAGGCTTTGAAGAGACAAGATGGAGGCTTTGGACAGAGACAAGATGGAGGCTTTGGGAGAGACAAGATGGAGGCTTTGGACAGAGACAAGATGGAGGCTTTGGACAGAGACAAGATGGAGGCTTTGGAGAGAGACAAGATGGAGGCTTTGGACAGAGACAAGATGGAGGCTTTGGAGAGACAAGATGGAGGCTTTGGACAGAGACAAGATGGAGGCTTTGGAGAGACAAGATGGAGGCTTTGGACAGAGACAAGATGGAGGCTTTGGAGAGAGACAAGATGGAGGCTTTGGAGAGAGACAAGATGGAGGCTTTGGACAGAGGACAAGATGGAGGCTTTGGAGAGACAAGATGGAGGCTTTGGAGAGACAAGATGGAGGCTTTGGACAGAGACAAGATGGAGGCTTTGGACAGAGACAAGATGGAGGCTTTGAAGAGACAAGATGGAGGCTTTGGAGAGACAAGATGGAGGCTTTGGACAGAGACAAGATGGAGGCTTTGGAGAGACAAGATGGAGGCTTTGGACAGAGACAAGATGGAGGCTTTGGACAGAGACAAGATGGAGGCTTTGGAGAGAGACAAGATGGAGGCTTTGGACAGAGACAAGATGGAGGCTTTGGACAGAGACAAGATGGAGGCTTTGGACAGAGACAAGATGGAGGCTTTGGAGAGAGACAAGATGGAGGCTTTGGACAGAGACAAGATGGAGGCTTTGGAGAGACAAGATGGAGGCTTTGGACAGAGACAAGATGGAGGCTTTGGAGAGACAAGATGGAGGCTTTGGACAGAGACAAGATGGAGGCTTTGGAGAGAGACAAGATGGAGGCTTTGGAGAGAGACAAGATGGAGGCTTTGGACAGAGACAAGATGGAGGCTTTGGACAGAGACAAGATGGAGGCTTTGGAGAGACAAGATGGAGGCTTTGGACAGAGACAAGATGGAGGCTTTGGAGAGAGACAAGATGGAGGCTTTGGAGAGAGACAAGATGGAGGCTTTGGACAGAGACAAGATGGAGGCTTTGGACAGAGACAAGATGGAGGCTTTGGACAGAGACAAGATGGAGGCTTTGGACAGAGACAAGATGGAGGCTTTGGACAGAGACAAGATGGAGGCTTTGGAGAGAGACAAGATGGAGGCTTTGGAGAGAGACAAGATGGAGGCTTTGGACAGAGACAAGATGGAGGCTTTGGACAGAGACAAGATGGAGGCTTTGGACAGAGACAAGATGGAGGCTTTGAAGAGACAAGATGGAGGCTTTGGACAGAGACAAGATGGAGGCTTTGGAGAGAGACAAGATGGAGGCTTTGGAGAGAGACAAGATGGAGGCTTTGAAGAGACAAGATGGAGGCTTTGGACAGAGACAAGATGGAGGCTTTGGACAGAGACAAGATGGAGGCTTTGGACAGAGACAAGATGGAGGCTTTGGACAGAGACAAGATGGAGGCTTTGGACAGAGACAAGATGGAGGCTTTGGACAGAGACAAGATGGAGGCTTTGGAGAGACAAGATGGAGGCTTTGGACAGAGACAAGATGGAGGCTTTGGAGAGAGACAAGATGGAGGCTTTGGATAGAGACAAGATGGAGGCTTTGGACAGAGACAAGATGGAAGCTTTGGAGAGACAAGATGGAGGCTTTGGACAGAGACAAGATGGAGGCTTTGGACAGAGACAAGATGGAGGCTTTGGAGAGAGACAAGATGGAGGCTTTGGAGAGAGACAAGATGGAGGCTTTGGACAGAGACAAGATGGAGGCTTTGGACAGAGACAAGATGGAGGCTTTGGACAGAGACAAGATGGAGGCTTTGGACAGAGACAAGATGGAGGCTTTGGAGAGACAAGATGGAGGCTTTGGACAGAGACAAGATGGAGGCTTTGGACAGAGACAAGATGGAGGCTTTGGAGAGACAAGATGGAGGCTTTGGACAGAGACAAGATGGAGGCTTTGGAGAGAGACAAGATGGAGGCTTTGGAGAGAGACAAGATGGAGGCTTTGGACAGAGACAAGATGGAAGCTTTGGAGAGAGACAAGATGGAGGCTTTGGACAGAGACAAGATGGAAGCTTTGGACAGAGACAAGATGGAGGCTTTGGACAGAGACAAGATGGAGGCTTTGGAGAGAGACAAGATGGAGGCTTTGGACAGAGACAAGATGGAGGCTTTGGAGAGACAAGATGGAGGCTTTGGAGAGACAAGATGGAGGCTTTGGACAGAGACAAGATGGAGGCTTTGGAGAGAGACAAGATGGAGGCTTTGGACAGAGACAAGATGGAGGCTTTGGACAGAGACAAGATGGAGGCTTTGGACAGAGACAAGATGGAGGCTTTGGACAGAGACAAGATGGAGGCTTTGGAGAGACAAGATGGAGGCTTTGGACAGAGACAAGATGGAGGCTTTGGACAGAGACAAGATGGAGGCTTTGGACAGAGACAAGATGGAGGCTTTGGACAGAGACAAGATGGAGGCTTTGGAGAGACAAGATGGAGGCTTTGGACAGAGACAAGATGGAGGCTTTGGACAGAGACAAGATGGAGGCTTTGGACAGAGACAAGATGGAGGCTTTGGACAGAGACAAGATGGAGGCTTTGGAGAGAGACAAGATGGAGGCTTTGGACAGAGACAAGATGGAGGCTTTGGACAGAGACAAGATGGAGGCTTTGGACAGAGACAAGATGGAGGCTTTGGACAAGAGAGGCTTTGGACAGAGACAAGATGGAGGCTTTGGACAGAGACAAGATGGAGGCTTTGGACAGAGACAAGATGGAGGCTTTGGACAGAGACAAGATGGAGGCTTTGGACAGAGACAAGATGGAGGCTTTGGAGAGAGACAAGATGGAGGCTTTGGACAGAGACAAGATGGAGGCTTTGGACAGAGACAAGATGGAGGCTTTGGACAGAGACAAGATGGAGGCTTTGGAGAGAGACAAGATGGAGGCTTTGGACAGAGACAAGATGGAGGCTTTGGACAGAGACAAGATGGAGGCTTTGGACAGAGACAAGATGGAGGCTTTGAAGAGACAAGATGGAGGCTTTGGACAGAGACAAGATGGAGGCTTTGGACAGAGACAAGATGGAGGCTTTGGACAGAGACAAGATGGAGGCTTTGGACAGAGACAAGATGGAGGCTTTGGACAGAGACAAGATGGAGGCTTTGGACAGAGACAAGATGGAGGCTTTGGACAGAGACAAGATGGAGGCTTTGGAGAGAGACAAGATGGAGGCTTTGGAGAGACAAGATGGAGGCTTTGGAGAGACAAGATGGAGGCTTTGGACTGAGACAAGATGGAGGCTTTGAAGAGACAAGATGGAGGCTTTGGACAGAGACAAGATGGAGGCTTTGAAGAGACAAGATGGAGGCTTTGGACAGAGACAAGATGGAGGCTTTGAAGAGACAAGATGGAGGCTTTGGAGAGACAAGATGGAGGCTTTGGACTGAGACAAGATGGAGGCTTTGAAGAGACAAGATGGAGGCTTTGGACAGAGACAAGATGGAGGCTTTGAAGAGAGACAAGATGGAGGCTTTGAAGAGACAAGATGGAGGCTTTGGACAGAGACAAGATGGAGGCTTTGAAGAGACAAGATGGAGGCTTTGGACAGAGACAAGATGGAGGCTTTGGAGAGACAAGATGGAGGCTTTGGACTGAGACAAGATGGAGGCTTTGGAGAGAGACAAGATGGAGGCTTTGGAGAGACAAGATGGAGGCTTTGGAGAGACAAGATGGAGGCTTTGGAGAGAGAAGATGGAGGCTTTGGACTGAGACAAGATGGAGGCTTTGAAGAGACAAGATGGAGGCTTTGGACAGAGACAAGATGGAGGCTTTGAAGAGACAAGATGGAGGCTTTGGAGAGAGACAAGATGGAGGCTTTGGACAGAGACAAGATGGAGGCTTTGAAGAGACAAGATGGAGGCTTTGGACAGAGACAAGATGGAGGCTTTGGAGAGACAAGATGGAGGCTTTGGACAGAGACAAGATGGAGGCTTTGGACAGAGACAAGATGGAGGCTTTGGACAGAGACAAGATGGAGGCTTTGGACAGAGACAAGATGGAGGCTTTGGACTGAGACAAGATGGAGGCTTTGGACAGAGACAAGATGGAGGCTTTGAAGAGAGACAAGATGGAGGCTTTGAAGAGACAAGATGGAGGCTTTGGACAGAGACAAGATGGAGGCTTTGGACAGAGACAAGATGGAGGCTTTGGACAGAGACAAGATGGAGGCTTTGGACAGAGACAAGATGGAGGCTTTGAAGAGACAAGATGGAGGCTTTGGACTGAGACAAGATGGAGGCTTTGAAGAGACAAGATGGAGGCTTTGGACAGAGACAAGATGGAGGCTTTGGACAGAGACAAGATGGAGGCTTTGAAGAGAGACAAGATGGAGGCTTTGGACAGAGACAAGATGGAGGCTTTGAAGAGACAAGATGGAGGCTTTGGACAGAGACAAGATGGAGGCTTTGAAGAGACAAGATGGAGGCTTTGGACAGAGACAAGATGGAGGCTTTGGACAGAGACAAGATGGAGGCTTTGAAGAGACAAGATGGAGGCTTTGGACAGAGACAAGATGGAGGCTTAGGACAGAGACAAGATGGAGGCTTTGGACTGAGACAAGATGGAGGCTTTGGACAGAGACAAGATGGAGGCTTTGGACAGAGACAAGATGGAGGCTTTGGACAGAGACAAGATGGAGGCTTTGGACAGAGGCAAGATGGAGGCTTTGGACAGAGACAAGATGGAGGCTTTGGACAGAGACAAGATGGAGGCTTTGGACAGAGAAAAGTTGGAGGCTTAGGACAGAGACAAGATGGAGGCTTTGAAGAGACAAGATGGAGGCTTTGGACAGAGACAAGATGGAGGCTTTGGACAGAGACAAGATGGAGGCTTTGGACAGAGACAAGATGGAGGCTTTGGACAGAGACAAGATGGAGGCTTTGGACAGAGACAAGATGGAGGCTTTGGACAGAGACAAGATGGAGGCTTTGGACAGAGACAAGATGGAGGCTTTGAAGAGAGACAAGATGGAGGCTTTGGACAGAGACAAGATGGAGGCTTTGAAGAGACAAGATGGAGGCTTTGGACAGAGACAAGATGGAGGCTTTGGACAGAGACAAGATGGAGGCTTTGGACAGAGGCAAGATGGAGGCTTTGGACAGAGACAAGATGGAGGCTTTGGACAGAGACAAGATGGAGGCTTTGGACAGAGACAAGATGGAGGCTTTGGAGAGAGACAAGATGGAGGCTTTGGAGAGAGACAAGATGGAGGCTTTGGACAGAGACAAGATGGAGGCTTTGGACAGAGACCAGATGGAGGCTTTGGACAGAGACAAGATGGAGGCTTTGAAGAGACAAGATGGAGGCTTTGGAGAGAGACAAGATGGAGGCTTTGGAGAGAGACAAGATGGAGGCTTTGGAGAGAGACAAGATGGAGGCTTTGGAGAGAGACAAGATGGAGGCTTTGGACAGAGACAAGATGGAGGCTTTGGACAGAGACAAGATGGAGGCTTTGGACAGAGACAAGATGGAGGCTTTGGACAGAGACAAGATGGAGGCTTTGGACAGAGACAAGATGGAGGCTTTGAAGAGACAAGATGGAGGCTTTGGACAGAGACAAGATGGAGGCTTTGGAGAGAGACAAGATGGAGGCTTTGAAGAGAGACAAGATGGAGGCTTTGGACAGAGACAAGATGGAGGCTTTGGACAGAGACAAGATGGAGGCTTTGGACAGAGACAAGATGGAGGCTTTGAAGAGACAAGATGGAGGCTTTGGACAGAGACAAGATGGAGGCTTTGGACAGAGACAAGATGGAGGCTTTGGACAGAGACAAGATGGAGGCTTTGAAGAGACAAGATGGAGGCTTTGGACAGAGACAAGATGGAGGCTTTGGACAGAGACAAGATGGAGGCTTTGGACAGAGACAAGATGGAGGCTTTGAAGAGACAAGATGGAGGCTTTGAAGAGACAAGATGGAGGCTTTGGACAGAGACAAGATGGAGGCTTTGGACAGAGACAAGATGGAGGCTTTGGACAGAGACAAGATGGAGGCTTTGGACAGAGACAAGATGGAGGCTTTGGACAGAGACAAGATGGAGGCTTTGGACAGAGACAAGATGGAGGCTTTGGACAGAGACAAGATGGAGGTGTCGTTAAGATTAAGATGAAGAGATTCTGTATGTGTCCCACAGTGGCTCAGTTGGTAGAGGAGCATTGGCCTTTGAGCCTGAAGGTTGTGGGTTCAAGCCCTCCACGAGACCTTCTCCACCGACTTCTACTGATGTCTGCTGCCGTGTGTCCTTGGGCAAGACACTGAACCCCACTTTGCCTGAAGTGAAATACTGCGATCTGAAGCAACTGAAACCAAAGACACTTCAGTGTGTTTTAATTAGTCAATGTTTACAATGGGATAAAGGGGAAATAAATCAAAAATGATGGGTCGCTGTATAGAAAGTGTCCTTACATGATTGCACTTGCCTAAAGGGTTTTTTACCATTAACACAACTGTCCAAAAGGGATTCATAAAATACTCTGAAATGTCTTTCTCACAAACTCTGAATCATCGCAACAAGAAAAGCAAACACAAAAACAGGACGGGGTTGTTTCAGGATCCATCAGACGTGTTTCTTTAACTCTGTGTCCGGGGACAGAAAACTCAGCTTCTCTCTGATGCTTCTCTCTGATGCCAATCCCAACAGCGACGATAGAAGCAGAAGAAACACACGCCAAACACACGAGAAAGTCTTTTCCTCCGTTTCTTCTTAAAAACACTCTGAATGCGTCACTCCTGGCGATAAAAAGGTAATTTCAGTTTGCATGTCCAATCATTTGTTTTTGCTCCCTCTGGCTTTTCACTCCAAATGTATTCAACACGACGAGGTTTCAGCTGCGCCGCCGCCTTTCTTCAAACGTGTCTTTACTCTGACTAAAAACCTGCTGTTTTTTAAAACTCCAAACAGTCTCTGTCTCTGTCACGGTGTGGATTCATTTTGTGCTTTAATTTTAGTCTGACTTCCCCCGTCTGCCCCGCCCTGATGTGTTTCACCTGTGTACCTGTGTCTCTATGTACCTGTGTCTCTATGTACCTGTGTCTCTATGTACCTGTGTCTCTATGTACCTGTGTCTCTATGTACCTGTGTCTCTGTGTCTGTATGTACCTGTGTCTGTATGTACCTGTGTCTCTGTGTACCTGTGTCTCTGTGTACCTGTGTCTCTATGTACCTGTGTCTCTATGTACCTGTGTCTCTATGTACCTGTGTCTCTGTGTACCTGTGTCTCTATGTACCTGTGTCTCTATGTACCTGTGTCTCTATGTACCTGTGTCTCTGTGTACCTGTGTCTCTATGTACCTGTGTCTCTATGTACCTGTGTCTCTATGTACCTGTGTCTCTATGTACCTGTGTCTCTATGTACCTGTGTCTCTATGTACCTGTGTCTCTATGTACCTGTGTCTCTGTGTACCTGTGTCTCTATGTACCTGTGTCTCTATGTACCTGTGTCTCTATGTACCTGTGTCTCTATGTACCTGTGTCTCTATGTACCTGTGTCTCTATGTACCTGTGTCTCTGTGTACCTGTGTCTCTATGTACCTGTGTCTCTATGTACCTGTGTCTCTATGTACCTGTGTCTCTATGTACCTGTGTCTCTATGTACCTGTGTCTCTATGTACCTGTGTCTCTATGTACCTGTGTCTCTATGTACCTGTGTCTCTATGTACCTGTGTCTCTATGTACCTGTGTCTCTATGTACCTGTGTCTCTATGTACCTGTGTCTCTGTGTCTGTATGTACCTGTGTCTGTATGTACCTGTGTCTCTGTGTACCTGTGTCTCTGTGTACCTGTGTCTCTATGTACCTGTGTCTCTATGTACCTGTGTCTCTATGTACCTGTGTCTCTGTGTACCTGTGTCTCTATGTACCTGTGTCTCTATGTACCTGTGTCTCTATGTACCTGTGTCTCTGTGTACCTGTGTCTCTATGTACCTGTGTCTCTATGTACCTGTGTCTCTATGTACCTGTGTCTCTATGTACCTGTGTCTCTATGTACCTGTGTCTCTATGTACCTGTGTCTCTATGTACCTGTGTCTCTGTGTACCTGTGTCTCTATGTACCTGTGTCTCTATGTACCTGTGTCTCTATGTACCTGTGTCTCTATGTACCTGTGTCTCTATGTACCTGTGTCTCTATGTACCTGTGTCTCTGTGTACCTGTGTCTCTATGTACCTGTGTCTCTATGTACCTGTGTCTCTATGTACCTGTGTCTCTATGTACCTGTGTCTCTATGTACCTGTGTCTCTGTGTACCTGTGTCTCTATGTACCTGTGTCTCTATGTACCTGTGTCTATATGTACCTGTGTCTATATGTACCTGTGTCTCTGTGTACCTGTGTCTCTATGTACCTGTGTCTATATGTACCTGTGTGTCTGTGTCTATATGTACCTGTGCTCCTCTGTCTATATGTACCTGTGGGTCTATATGTACCTGTGCTCCTCTGTCTATATGTACCTGTGTCTTTATGTACCTGTTGTGTGTCTGTGTCTATATGTACCTGTGCTCCTCTGTCTATATGTACCTGTGGGTCTATATGTACCTGTGCTCCTCTGTCTATATGTACCTGTGGGTCTATATGTACCTGTGCTCCTCTGTCTATATGTACCTGTGTCTATATGTACCTGTGCTCCTCTGTCTATATGTACCTGTGTCTATATGTACCTGTGCTCCTCTGTCTATATGTACCTGTGTCTTTATGTACCTGTGTGTCTGTGTCTATATGTACCTGTGCTCCTCTGTCTATATGTACCTGTGTGTCTATATGTACATGTGTGTCTATATGTACCTGTGCTCCTCTGTCTATATGTACCTGTGTCTATATGTACATGTGTGTCTGTGTCTATATGTACCTGTGCTCCTCTGTCTATATGTACCTGTGGGTCCTATATGTACCTGTGCTCCTCTGTCTATATGTACCTGTGGGTCTATATGTACCTGTGCTCCTCTGTCTATATGTACCTGTGTCTATATGTACCTGTGCTCCTCTGTCTATATGTACCTGTGTCTATATGTACCTGTGCTCCTCTGTCTATATGTACCTGTGTCTTTATGTACCTGTGTGTCTGTGTCTATATGTACCTGTGCTCCTCTGTCTATATGTACCTGTGTGTCTATATGTACATGTGTGTCTATATGTACCTGTGCTCCTCTGTCTATATGTACCTGTGTCTATATGTACATGTGTGTCTATATGTACCTGTGCTCCTCTGTCTATATGTACCTGTGTCTATATGTACATGTGTGTCTGTGTCTATATGTACCTGTGCTCCTCTGTCTATATGTACCTGTGTCTATATGTACATGTGTGTCTTTATGTACCTGTGCTCCTCTGTCTATATGTACCTGTGTCTATATGTACATGTGTGTCTGTGTCTATATGTACCTGTGCTCCTCTGTCTATATGTACCTGTGTCTATATGTACATGTGTGTCTATATGTACCTGTGCTCCTCTGTCTATATGTACCTGTGTCTATATGTACATGTGTGTCTGTGTCTATATGTACCTGTGCTCCTCTGTCTATATGTACCTGTGTCTATATGTACCTGTGCTCCTCTGTCTATATGTACCTGTGTCTTTATGTACCTGTGTGTCTGTGTCTATATGTACCTGTGCTCCTCTGTCTATATGTACCTGTGTCTATATGTACATGTGTGTCTATATGTACCTGTGCTCCTCTGTCTATATGTACCTGTGTCTATATGTACATGTGTGTCTATATGTACCTGTGCTCCTCTGTCTATATGTACCTGTGGGTCTATATGTACCTGTGCTCCTCTGTCTATATGTACCTGTGTCTATATGTACATGTGTGTCTATATGTACCTGTGCTCCTCTGTCTATATGTACCTGTGGGTCTATATGTACCTGTGCTCCTCTGTCTATATGTACCTGTGCTCCTCTGTCTATATGTACCTGTGTCTTTATGTACCTGTGTGTCTGTGTCTATATGTACCTGTGCTCCTCTGTCTATATGTACCTGTGTCTATATGTACCTGTGGGTCTATATGTACCTGTGCTCCTCTCTTGTTGCTGGTCCGTTATACTGTCAGTGTTCCTGGTTCCGTGTTTCTTTGGATGTGTGTGTTTTCTCCTGGAGTTTTGTTTTTTTATAATTAAATCATTATTTTGGGTCCTTCCTGCTTCTCGCCAGAAACATGAAGTTGGACCTTTTTGACCCGGGACCCGCCCTGACCGGTCCGAGCCGACCCAGACCAAACACTGCAGAGGTTTTAGTCGAGCCGTGGCTGCAGCTGTGGTTGCAGCTGTGGTTGCAGCTGTGGTTGCAGCTGTGGTTGCAGCTGTGGTCGCAGCTGTGGTTGCAGCTGAGGTGACGCAGAGGAAGAGGAAACAGAAGTGTGGGTCTGAAGGCCATGAACCGTCTGGTTTCAGCAGTCGCAGCTGTGGTCGCAGCTGTGGTCGCAGCTGTGGTTGCAGCTGTGGTCGCTGTGGTCGCAGCTGTGGTCGCAGCTGTGGTCGCAGCTGTGGTCGCAGCTGTGTTGAAGAGAAGCAGCTCGAGTTATCATTATGAAAAAGGAAGAACATGATAATTAAACATGTATGACCTGAGCTGAAAAGACCTGGGCTCAAAGACACCTTTAAGTTCAGAAACGCTCTGATGGAAACAGATCAATAGTGAAGGGTTTTATCGCCTGTTTCTTTCAGCCATAATATTACATGTTTAGGATTCTGCACAGTTCTTATCTAGTGCTAATGTTGAACTGTTCTCACAAAGCCATGGATCAACGGTACAAGAACATGGGACAGAGACTGGAATGGAAACGTAACTCTCCAATGAATGGATCCAAGAGATAAAAGTGCAGAGTCAGACACTCTCCACCGCTCACATCCACGTCCAGTTATACAGTTGTGTAGAGCAGTGTTTCTCAGACTGGGGTACGCGTATATATAGACAGTATTTTATTAAGCCAGCAGGTGGCAGCAGAACTCCCTGGTTTGGTCAAAGATCACTGTCTGAGCAGTCTGAGCAGGAGAGACAGAGGTGAAGCAGACATGGAGTAATATAGTCAGGGTCAGGCTACATTTGGAGGCAGTTTGACCAGTAAATGTGTCTCCAGAGCTGACAGAGACCATGTGGAGGGTCAGAGCAGCAGACCATGTAGAGGGTCAGGGCAGCAGACCATGTGGAGGGTCAGGACAACAGACCATGTGGAGGGTCAGGGCAGCAGACCATGTGGAGGGTCAGGGCAGCAGACCATGTGGAGGGTCAGAGCAGCAGACCATGTGGAGGGTCAGAGCAGCAGACCATGTGGAGGGTCAGGGCAGCAGACCATGTGGAGGGTCAGGACAACAGACCATGTGGAGGGTCAGGGCAGCAGACCATGTGGAGGGTCAGGGCAGCAGACCATGTGGAGGGTCAGAGCAGCAGACCATGTGGAGGGTCAGAGCAGCAGACCATGTGGAGGGTCAGGGCAGCAGACCATGTGGAGGGTCAGGACAACAGACCATGTGGAGGGTCAGGGCAGCAGACCATGTGGAGGGTCAGGGCAGCAGACCATGTGGAGGGTCAGAGCAGCAGACCATGTGGAGGGTCAGAGCAGCAGACCATGTGGAGGGTCAGAGCAGCAGACCATGTGGAGGGTCAGAGCAGCAGACCATGTGGAGGGTCAGAGCAGCAGACCATGTGGAGGGTCAGAGCAGCAGACCATGTGGAGGGTCAGAGCAGCAGACCATGTGGATGGTCAGAGCAGCAGACCATGTAGAGGGTCAGTACAGCAGACCATGTGGATGGTCAGAGCAGCAGACCATGTGGAGGGTCAGGACAGCAGACCATGTGGATGGTCAGAGCAGCAGACCATGTGGAGGGTCAGAGCAGCAGACCATGTGGAGGGTCAGAGCAGCAGACCATGTGGAGGGTCAGGACAGCAGACCATGTGGATGGTCAGAGCAGCAGACCATGTGGATGGTCAAAGCAGCAGACCATGTGGAGGGTCAGGACAGCAGACCATGTGGATGGTCAGAGCAGCAGACCATGTGGAGGGTCATAGCAGCAGACCATGTGGAAGGTCAGGACAGCAGACCATGTGGATGGTCAGAGCAGCAGACCATGTGGAGGGTCATAGCAGCAGACCATGTGGAGGGTCATAGCAGCAGACCATGTGGAGGGTCAGGACAGCAGACCATGTGGATGGTCAGAGCAGCAGACCATGTGGAGGGTCAGAGCAGCAGACCATGTGGAGGGTCATAGTAGCAGACCATGTGGAGGGTCATAGCAGCAGACCATGTGGAGGGTCAGGACAGCAGACCATGTGGATGGTCAGAGCAGCAGACCATGTGGAGGGTCAGGACAGCAGACCATGTGGAGGGTCAGGACAGCAGACCATGTGGAAGGTCAGAGCAGCAGACCATGTGGATGGTCAAAGCAGCAGACCATGTGGAGGGTCAGAGCAGCAGACCATGTGGAGGGTCAGGGCAGCAGACCATGTGGAGGGTCAGGACAGCAGACCATGTGGAAGGTCAGAGCAGCAGACCATGTGGATGGTCAGGACAGCAGACCATGTGGAGGGTCAGAGCAGCAGACCATGTGGAGGGTCAGGACAGCAGACCATGTGGAGGGTCAGAGCAGCAGACCATGTGGAGGGTCAGAGCAGCAGACCATGTGGAGGGTCAGAGCAGCAGACCATGTGGAGGGTCAGAGCAGCAGACCATGTGGAGGGTCAGAGCAGCAGACCATGTGGAGGGGTCAGGACAGCAGACCATGTGGAGGGTCAGGACAGCAGACCATGTGGAGGGTCAGAGCAGCAGACCATGTGGAGGGTCAGAGCAGCAGACCATGTGGAGGGTCAGAGCAGCAGACCATGTGGAGGGTCAGAGCAGAGACCAGCGGTGCACCCCAAAAAAGCCACAGAAAAGTGGACTATTGCTAAAACTATCACTGAGTTATGGTCCAGTTATGGTCCCAGCGCTCGCTGGACTAAACAGACGCTGTGTAGATGAAACCACACAAACACACAAACGTGTGCATAAACGCACAAACATGCGCGCCCAAACGCACAAAGACAAACAGCAGTATTCTCTTGCACTAATACTATAAGTATAAGTATTCACTTTGATTTATGGTCATTTATAGTGTTTATCATTGTAATTTTGTTATTCTGTGATTTACTCTTATTGACATGAATATAGCGCCACCTAATGGATGAATACTGTCCGTTCTTTCTGCCATAGTTTGTCATGGGCTCTACTTTCAATATGTACTTTTAGACATTTTTTGGATGAGTACATTTTGAAACATTCGAGCAACACTTTGTGGATGTGAGTGTGCCATAAAACTTATTATTTTACATTAAAAACACTTTCTCATAACTTTTCTAACATGTAAGATCCTGGACATGTTTGAGGAGACGCTAAAGTCAAACTAAATAGTTTTACAATCACTTTTCTGCAGTTTGTCATTTTCTCAGCTTTTTGTCTCAGAATGGTGCTTTTTGTCACACTCCTCTTTTCGACTGGAAATCACAGGAGAACGAAACAAACTAAGAACAAACTTCTTTTTGCTGCTGAAAGTAGACAGTCCAGTCTTTCAGACTCTGGTTTCATATCATTCATAGTCATAGCACACAATATTCTGTGAGTCTTAAAAATCAGTGAAGTCATCAAGAATGGCTGGCAGTCAATGAGAACCTCTTTTTCGTGTACAAAAATTACATACAATTACAGATTATAAAAACAGTTACATTTCACTGAAGACGTCTCAATCTGGATCTAAAAGCATTCAAGGAAATAAGATCATATCATTTCTAGTCTTTTTGCAACACGTTCCATGTAGAAGGAGCAGCGAGTACAAAAGCTTTTTTCCCAGTTCTGTGCAAAAGGAACAGAGAGCAACAAAAGATCATTTGATCCAAACCATAAGAACATGTCTCTGTGTAAACGATCCAAACCATATGAACATGTCTGAGTAAACGATCCAAACCATAAGAACATGTCTCTGAGTAAACGATCCAAACCATAAGAACATGTCTCTGAGTAAACGATCCAAACCATAAGAACATGTCTCTGAGTAAACGATCCAAACCATAAGAACATGTCTCTGAGTAAACGATCCAAACCATGAGAACATGTCTCTGTGTAAACGATCCAAACCATAAGAACATGTCTCTGAGTAAACGATCCAAACCATGAGAACATGTCTCTGAGTAAACGATCCAAACCATAAGAACATGTCTCTGAGTAAACGATCCAAACCATAAGAACATGTCTCTGAGTAAACGATCCAAACCATATGAACATGTCTGAGTAAACGATCCAAACCATAAGAACATGTCTCTGTGTAAACGATCCAAACCATAAGAACATGTCTCTGAGTAAACGATCCAAACCATGAGAACATGTCTCTGAGTAAACGATCCAAACCATAAGAACATGTCTCTGTGTAAACGATCCAAACCATATGAACATGTCTCTGTGTAAACGATCCAAACCATAAGAACATGTCTCTGAGTAAACGATCCAAACCATATGAACATGTCTCTGAGTAAACGATCCAAACCATATGAACATGTCTCTGAGTAAACGATCCAAACCATAAGAACATGTCTCTGAGTAAACGATCCAAACCATAAGAACATGTCTCTGTGTAAACGATCCAAACCATAAGAACATGTCTCTGAGTAAACGATCCAAACCATAAGAACATGTCTCTGAGTAAACGATCCAAACCATAAGAACATGTCTCTGAGTAAACGATCCAAACCATAAGAACATGTCTCTGAGTAAACGATCCAAACCATATGAACATGTCTCTGAGTAAACGATCCAAACCATATGAACATGTCTGAGTAAACGATCCAAACCATATGAACATGTCTCTGAGTAAACGATCCAAACCATATGAACATGTCTCTGTGTAAACGATCCAAACCATATGAACATGTCTCTGAGTAAACGATCCAAACCATATGAACATGTCTCTGTGTAAACGATCCAAACCATATGAACATGTCTCTGAGTAAACGATCCAAACCATATGAACATGTCTCTGTGTAAACGATCCAAACCATATGAACATGTCTGAGTAAACGATCCAAACCATATGAACATGTCTCTGAGTAAACGATCCAAACCATATGAACATGTCTCTGTGTAAACGATCCAAACCATATGAACATGTCTCTGAGTAAACGATCCAAACCATAAGAACATGTCTCTGTGTAAACGATCCAAACCATAAGAACATGTCTCTGAGTAAACGATCCAAACCATAAGAACATGTCTCTGAGTAAACGATCCAAACCATGAGAACATGTCTGAGTAAACGATCCAAACCATATGAACATGTCTCTGAGTAAACGATCCAAACCATAAGAACATGTCTCTGAGTAAACGATCCAAACCATAAGAACATGTCTCTGAGTAAACGATCCAAACCATATGAACATGTCTCTGAGTAAACGATCCAAACCATATGAACATGTCTGAGTAAACGATCCAAACCATATGAACATGTCTCTGAGTAAACGATCCAAACCATAAGAACATGTCTCTGAGTAAACGATCCAAACCATGAGA